AGTGTATCACCAATTCTTGTCAGTGAAGCAGAGACAGAAATATTTTCCCTTTCATGGTTTTTAATGCTTTAAAATCTGCAAAGTGACAGTGGGCATATAAATGAGAAGTGTCACAATGTAACAAAATGACCAAATAGCCAGAGGAAGAATACTAAAAGGATCACACCATTGAACAGTAAGGAAGTTGTCTTTTATAGTGGGATTGTGAGTAGTAGTACAACTCTGTATTCATGGAAGCTATTATAAATGTGAGATTGAAGCTACCAAATGAATGAGGAGGAGTCAGCCTTAGACACAAAACTGTGACAAGATAAAAATGGGGAGAAACCATTACTGTTTATCATATAAGTCAATAGATTCCTAGTTATGGGGGATCATAACATTCAAATAACTAAAAAGCACTGTGTAATCCCTTACCAGCAGGAAGTAGTTTGGAAAGAACGACGCCCAAATTCCCAAATATTGTGTATAAATGTTTGTTTTCATTTAATTGAACTTTGTTATATAAAATAAAATAATAAAATAAAAAAATCCCAGAAAATTAAAAAACATATATTCTTCTGAAGAGAGAATGGACTCAATTCAGACACTTTACTGTAGTCTGAAAAAAAAATAATATATTTTATTATTTTGTCATTTAATTCTACTAACTTTGTTTTTATTGATCTTTTACTAAAATTATTCTGTATTTTAAACCAAACAAGGAAACTGCTTGATTCTTCTGGTATGTTTGTTTTAGTGTGTGTCCTTAAAAATGTCAAAATAACTAAAAATATAGGGCAGTTCTCAAAATCATTTAGGCTATGGCACAGATCACAAATTACTCAGATGGAATTAATGTAATATTGACAAAATATATTTTGAATTTTTAATAATGTGAATATTTTAGAGTGCTGTAATTGTTAAAGCATAGGAAAAATGAATTTGTTCTGAATTTTCTGCCTGCATAACATTTTAGGGTTCAGTTTTCTAAAAGAAATTATCAAATGTTTAAGGGATGTTGAACTTATATCTCATGCTACATACATCCTGTCCTTTCTCTCTGCCATTCTTTGTGTCTACTTCCTTTTTATTAAGAGAGTATCTCACTTATATTTTCATGTCCTATACAAAGACATGCTCATGTACGCTCTTCATGAAATAAAAAAAATCCAAAATTGGAGAAAACATATGGTATTTGTCTTGCTTAATTTACTAAAAAACAATTGTCTACAGTTTCATTAATCTTTTTGTGTCATAATACCATCCTGGATATCTGATAATTTTCACTGTGTTTTAAAATCACTTAGTACTGTAGAGATCACATGTGTCCTTTTGTTAGCTAAACATTTTCCAGTTAGGTTAATATATTCAAATGTAAATTTTTAATTATTCTCAAACATAGAAAATAAAAATGATAGTATATGTGTCATGAATTTAACCCTTGTGCAGATATACGTATAATGTTCTGGCTGTTAATAAATGCACACCAGCTTTCCATAGTGGGTTAAATGTTTTATTATCAATGATGATGAATATAATTTTGTCTTAGGAAGCATAGGTCTTATTAACTCATAAATTTAAAATGTTTTGTAAACATGTTTCTTAATATTAAGAATACTTGCTTATGTTATTTCAAAAGTCTATATTTTTAATTGTATGTGTGTATTTCTTATGTGGGAATGAGCACATACATATATGTGAGTGCCCACAGAGGCAAAATTCATTGAATCTCACTGTAAATGGAGATAGAGATGATTGTGTAATGCCCAAAATCTCTGGTGCTCTAAGAGAACAGAAAGTCTCAGCCACTACGCCATCTTTCAGTCATAGGATACTTGCTATTACAAGAAGTTCACTTATTTTATTACATAGTGAATAGAAATTCATGGTTCTCACTACTTATATTTGCTCTACTAGGATATTGTTACACATATTCAACTGAGGTGCAGTCCACACTTATCAACAGGACTAAGTCCAAGACCTATGAATATTCTAAATGAAGGAGGGAAAGGTAAGATTTGTGTCACCAGTAAATGACTTCAAAGAACACTTATGAAATACTAGTGAAATTGGTCACCTATCAAAAATGTAGGAGAAATAAAATTATTTAGACTATAGTAAGAATGTATTTCAAGAACGTTCAATAATATACTAATTTGACAATGTTGAGATTTGAGATGTTTTATAAGAAGATGGTAAATACTGTTTGTCTTAAGACCTTCAAGGAATAATGATTTGGAAAGTAGATGGGGAATGAAGATCAAAGTGGTAGATAGGACAGGTAAAAGGATATACTAGTTGTATTAATTTATGGTTGACAACTTCTTAAGGAAAATGAAGTGTCAGACATTCAGGAGACATTCCATTAGTCAGTAGTGTGGAAATATGACTGAGAAGTAGAAAGAAGGATACTATAATTCTTATCTTCATCACCTATAGAAACATGTGAATGACTAAAGAAATGTACAATGTTTAGCATGTAGCTGTAAATATCTCTGTCAGCAACACATGGAATTAGTATTTCCATGGTTATCATAAAGGTCAACATGTTAATATTAGGAAGTAAAAATAGGTGCCCACAAAAGTGATCAATTGGTAACAGGTCTATATGGTGGGCCCTGGCTTCTTTCACAACTTACATTTTGATTACTGAAAGAAAAACTATATGTTAGAGGTCATGATGTAAAATTCCATATAAAGAATATGGATTATGGCATATCAAAGTTTCATGAAGAACTAATAGGGGACATGGTCAAAGTTTAGTTGGTAATCTAGCAACCCATGAAGTCTGCATTTATAAAACTTGAGGTGATGTATTTGTTGCTTGTGCTACAATTAAACTCAAAAGCCTATAGTCACTCAAATGTTGAATGCCAAAAGTGCATATTCATTAAATAAGACCCTGTGTTCAAAAATTAAAATTTTGTCTAATTTTTAATATATGTATAATCTCAGTTTAGGTTAATTTTGATGATCTTATTTCAGTATTGTAAATTTATTTTGTAGTTTCCAGGTACCACATACATTCTGAGAATGGCTAATTAAAAGTTCACATTTATAATTAGAGAAAATTGAATGTATCCTTCATATCACTTAGCCTGTTCATGTGCAACAGAACATTTTAACCTTTACTTTATGTGTTAATATCAAAGATGACCCGTTTAGTCAAATTGTTTAATGAAAAATGAATTATCTTCCATTGTAGCTTTTGTCAATGCTTGATCTTGCCAAATTACAATATAATGTGAAAACATGAAAGTGTTATTAGTCCATTGGTATATATGTCCCCTAGGTGTTTAATTCAAGATATCCGCTATAGCTTTCTAGTATCAATTTGGGAATTTCAACACTATTTAAGCATCTGATGTCAATCTGTATTCAGGTATTTGTTCCCTCTCTATAATTATAGACTTTACTTCAGTAATTTGACCTTTGTTCTTGTTGCATTCATTTATTGGGATCATCATCATATTTTATTTATTAAAATGTTTAATTAAATGTGTGGTGTTATTTTCTTCTAGAGACTGTCTCTTGTATTTAAAATCTAAAAAGACTTAGCGTAAGTTGAGTGAAAATTCACACAAAAACCAATTTTTCTAACTGCCCTTAAATTTGATTCTGATATTTTTTTTCTAATAATCTATGTGTTGCCCCCAGGCTATTTTACCTCATATACTTACTTCCCATCCTATTTTCTCTGTGTCTCATGGCCTCTCCTCTGACTCCTCCCTTCTTTCCAGAATTCTCTCTGCACCAAAAATCCTTCCTAGCCACTAGACAATCAGTTTTCTTTTATTAATAATGAGAGTAACACATCTTCACAGTGTACAGAATGATTTTGTTCACAGCAGTTATTTTTAATCTACTTTAATTTGCTCAGTAGAAAATCTCTGGTTTCATTCATTTTGCGATGTCAATCCGATTTCATTCTTTCAACCTTGAATAGACTTCTCTACTTTAGATACTTCATGTTATCCTTATTTATTATTTGCATATAGAGATCTAAGTTTGGCCATTAAAGGCTAGTCTCACAACCAAAAATATAAGAAATCTAAGATTATTCCATCTCTGATGTTGTGATTTGCAGCAATGGTGGATGTGAAAATGTCTTTGATACTGTTGATATGGAGTCATTGCAATTCCTCTTTCTTCAGAACTTTTCCCATTTTCTTTGGTACTATTGTACTCATAGAAATGTTATTTTCATCTGCCCCTACATTTCCAGACTGGTGTTTCTCAGGGCAAATATTTCTCTATCTTGCCACTGTAGTTTTATTTCTACTTTACTGTCTTCTATCTTCCTAATTTCTCTCTTACCACTTATATTAATGGTTCAGAACTCTGTAAATATCCAGTAATTGAATAATAAAGTTGAAGGACTTTTTTACAAAGATGAAACAAAAGTACTAATTTAGTTATAAGAAAATGAAATAAAAACCCAAGTAATGCCATGAAGAGTAACACATGTTTTTCTTGGGCAAGAAGGGTGTAATGAATGAGGCCTTCAAGTGTTACAATGAGCTGCTGGATAAAATTCTTGTTTAGAGCATGGACTCATTCCATGTTAAGTGTTGCAGGGTGATCAATATATATATAGCATAACTACTGAAAGATGTTAAACAACAGGAAATCTTGAGTTTTTAAACCAATGAAAGCTACTCTTATGAGGTACAAACTTTTCTTTAAGGCACTTTATTTTATTTATTTATTATGTTTCTTAACACATTTCATTTTTATTGTACTGGCTGTGTGAATGAATAAATGAATAAATGACTGATGTTATGTCTTGATATGGAACATTTTATGATATCAATCATGTATACAAGTTCTTTTTAGTTGTATATATTTATTACAAAAGTAAGTGTGCAGTTGAATATTAAGCTTACCTTTGAAATAAGAGAATAAAAATACTTTTAATAATAAGTTATTTTAAATACTTTTTATATGTTTATAAATATTTCTGCTTTAGAAATAATGTTTCTTCTTTGTTATAACTATCTAAATATTTACTTCAACAGAAACATACTTACAAATGAAAACAGAAGAAAATCTTGATGGAAATGAAAATATTCAATCATCTGTATGTAATTCCAATTTAAATCTCTACTTCAATGTTTTCTTTTTAAATGGTGTACCACAAGCTAAATGAAATTTTCTTTTTTAATATGAATTTTGAATAAATATTCCAAAGTTTAGAATGAAATTTTTAACATAATTAACTGCTTAGGATATTTGAACTTTCTTAAAATATATATTACCCCACAGTTAAAACTGTCTCTAATTTATTTTGCTATCCACAATATTTACTTATCTTTATGCTTGTTCTACTATAAAAACATAAGAAAAAAATGTTACACATTCCTGGCCACTTGATAGCACAATCAGCATTACATTGTTCTCCTTTTTGTTATGGTATAAGCTACAACTTTCTTTTTTTTTTTTTTTTTTTTTTCATGTTTCAAATCATTAATTTTATTTTACATTCCAACCACAGTTCTTTCTCCTATTCTTCCTCCCCTCCCCCAACTTGCCTCCTCCTATCACCTTGCCTCCTCGTGCCCCCTTTCCTCTCCTGTAGACCACTCCCAGTTCACTCCTCCTCATAGATAAGGGCTCCCCTGTGGAGTCAACATAGTCTTGCACAATAGGTTGCAGCAAGGACCAGCCCCTCTCCCACATATTAAGACTGAGCAAGAAGTTTATCATAAGGAAAGGGCTGCAACAAGCTAGTTCATGTACCAGGTTTATATCATGGTCCTACAGCCAGTGGCCCCACTGATAGTCCAAGCTTAACAACTATCTCTCACATCTGGAGGGTCTAGTTCAGTCCCATGGAGGCTCCACAGTTGTAGGTCTAGATCTAGAGTTCATCAGTTTCCATGAGCTTGGTTCAGCTGTCTCTGTACATTTCTCCATCATGACCTTGACCTCCCTTGTTCATATGTTCTCCCCTCCCTTTCTTCTACTGCATTTCAGTGATTCAACCTGGATCTTGGTTGTGTATCTCTGTGTTTGATTCCATCAATTAAAGATGAAGGCTATCAGATCAATGAACAACACAAACTATAACTTTAAAACTTATTTTTGATTTTACCAAAGGAAGTCAGCTGACATCCTGAAAGGACTATCCCAGCAATGCCGGATAATAATAGAATCTACTGTTGTATGCTCCTAATGAATATGCATGGTGTTGTTAATTGGTACTATTTCAGTTTGTATTTTGTGGACATAAATTAGCTGAATGGGTTAAGAAACAAAATATACCTTTCTTTTTTCAAATATAAATCTTTAAATGTCTTCAAAATAGTACAGGAGACATATACTGGTGCTCGATGTATTTTGAAATAAATTCCCCTTCCAATGTCCTGGTTACAAATTTATTTTTTTTCCTACCTTCCATGCTGAGTTTATATTATGTTTTAGGAATGGAGTTCAAAATAATCTAGAAAGCGTACATGATATGATGAATGTAAATTATAAAGTAATTTAAAAAATATGCTTCTTTTAATTTCAAGCATATGTGGTTTTAGAAAAGGAAATTATTTTATTTAATAGCAAAGTAATTAGAAAGGTTAATGCAATTCATGATTGATGTTAATTTTACCAGGACACTGTTATGCAGATGAAGCAAACTCCTCATTTACCAATAGGACCAACTGAGAGAACCATGGATCTTCTCAATGAAGAAGGGAAAGGTTAGAAATTATACATTATAAGTAAATTATTTTTTATTTTTGTTTAAATCATGCCAAAATATTTTAAACTAAAAACATATCAAGCAAATAAAATCAAAACTGTTTAAGGAATAAGATGTATTAAGGTAAAAGTTCCATAGCTCTTGAAGTTTCATTTGGGGTTTAAATTTAGTATTTAATATTAAATTTAGTTATTTAGTATTTTAGATGAAAGCAAAATTATAAATAATTCACATAGTAGTCTTCCTTCTGTTGTTGTCTTACTTGGAGTTTCTACTGCTATGTTGAAACATGGTGACCAAAAGAACTTTGGGGAGGAAAGTGTTTTTTGCTTCATTTATACTTCCATATAATGGTTTATCATCAAATGAAGTTAGGACAGGAACTTATACAAGGCAGGAACCTGGAGGCAGAAACTGATGAAGAGGCCAGCGAGGAGTCTTGATTACTGGTTTGCTCTTATAGCATGTTCGGCCTTTCTTATAGAACCCAGACAAATCAGGCTGGAGATGACCCCACCCACAGTGGGTTGGACTTTCCCTCAATAATCACTAATTAGAAGATCCCATACAACAAGCTTACCTACAGTGTGATCTTATAGAGGCAAATTCTGAATTGTGATTCCTTCTCTTAGGTTAAACTAGTTTATGTTAAGTTGACATTAAAGCCAACTGGTACAGTCAGTTACATTTGTTTCAAGTATGGATTCAGAATTAGTGCAAAGCAAAATCCTAAAATACTTATCAAAATAAATTCCTGTTCTCATATCACTGACAGAAACAGAGAAAATAAAGAAGTACAATTTAAGGCAAATCAGATTTCAATAAAGTCTAATTTGTTAAAATCAATACACTAGTAGAGTTTCCTCAGGGGTAGAAATGATGTTCATCTTTAAAGTCAGTTAAAAATCAAGAACATACAAAGGAAATCACTGTAAGATGTGTGTTTGGGAGTCCCCTTGACAGCTCTGACTGACAGGGCCCCAGGGCCCTGAGTTAGAACTTATCTGAATGGATGGATCATCCCTCAGGACCAGCAGTCATGATACTTGAAGGCACCATTCAAGATTCCACACAAAGAGGGAACAACCAACACTGTTTCATAGGACCTATAGAAATGTCTAGGACCTATAACAATGGTCAGCATCATGGGATGATTCTAAGGATACAGTAATGGCACACAATAGTTTAAAGGCATGCATGTATCCCATAAATCAAATCTAGAGCATCAAGAGATATTAAGAAATGATCAGGAATATAATCAGAAGATCACATGTCTAAATGTCTATATGTATTCATGTCATCACTCCTTAAGCCATTTGAAGGTTCCTTTTTATTAAAGATCCAAAGGGTATTTAATTTGCTACTTTTTTGATTAATTTTCCTAAATATATGATATTAAAATACTTTGCTTGATTCATTGAAAATTTCAAACATTGGAATTTTGTCGTGTTCATTTCCTCCTCTATCTCCTCCTTAGATCTGCCCCCACATCTCTGCCCAATTAACTTTATGTACTCATTCCTACTATTTTCTTTTTTGTCTCTTTCTATTTTTAGTTTTTGGTTAAATTGATCCATTCTCATGAGTGCTGCCTGCAAATTATTGGCTGTGTGTTCAAACACTAGAGTGTGTTGGAGCTACCACAGACCACATATCCTTAAATAAAACTACTTTTTTACATTCCACCACCAACTATCAACTACCAGTAACTCTCATCTAGTGGTCAAAATTCTTTCTACTCCTCCTCCACTCTGGTATTTTACGTGACTTGAGCTTACTACATAGGTCTGGTATATGTTTTCACAACCACTTTTGAGTTTTTATGGAAATACCCTAGAATGACACTGTTTTGTTATTGCCATATACCTTTCCTGGCCTTCCTACTCTTTCTTTTTCATCTTCTACAATTTTCCCTGAGTCTTGAGTGTATGCATAACATAGATGTACTTTAAAGAATGAACACTCCACAGTCACATCTTATCTGCATCTTGAACAGTTGTGGGTCAGTTTCTACTGATAAAATTTGAGAGATGCACTTATTTATGGTCTAACTTATACAAGTATTTGATACTATTATTTTATTCAAAACCTTCTGATTATTTTCTTCTCAATTCTTCCAAGATATTCCCCAACTCCCTATCAATCTAAGCACACACTCTTTCTTTCTCTCATTAAGATACAAATATGTAAATAAAAATAATAAAATAAAATAAAATGCAAATAAACAAACCAGAACAGATGAAGCAAACAAACTATCAGGAGAAAGAGTCAAAGGAAAACCATAAGAAACCACACACACACACACACACACACACACACACACACACACACACACACATACACATTTGCACACAACACCCCATAAAAACATATAATTATGTTTAATATACCAAATGAGATTCCTACAGAGAAAACCAATTTTTAGGAGAATTAGTCAATTGGAGATAATTTCTGGGTTAGCGAAATCTTGTCCACAATGCCCAAAGTAAAAATCTCCAAAATTCACTAACCATTCCCAAAGATAAATTGGATGATATTTTAACATTGTTATTCAAGGTGAAATCCTAACTGATTTAGGAATATTAACTTGTAACTGACACTACATTTTTATTTTTTATAGGATTTTGTGTTAGATATCGTCAAAGGAAGGTAATGATTTCATGCTTTCTCTTTGATCATTATATTCATAAAGTATGACATTGTCTTCATTAACTACCTCTTATAAAACAATCCCAGCCTCCAATTGAGAAGAAAGATTCTATCCCAACTGAAGCATCATCGTCAGTAAAGTGTGAACAAGATTTCCCAGCAGGTAAATAGTGAGAGGCTATTTCCTCTGTAACAACTACTTTAAAATATTTGAAATGTTCCTGCCTATAGTATTCTTGTAGCTAAGGCTTTGATCCCACAAATGGCTGGAAATTTATGTTAGATCTTCTTTTATACTTTTTAAATTCAAAATATACAGCCTATTCTGGTATCAGTCATGAACTACTGGCCTTCTGAATTCAAGACAGTGTGTAAAAAAGTTCTAACAAGTATCAGTGAAGTAAAGAAAACTGTAATTGAATATTTTACACATTAAGATGCAATGAAATGAATTAAACACCAATAGCACTGTGAATAGCAACATGTATCGTCCTAAGAAAAAGAGGCATGATAAAACCTGATCTTGTAAGAGAAATTTTTATTTCATATTTCCACTACTTAAATCAATGTATCATCACATGATGATTGCACAGTGTTCAATGGATTATGTGTAAAAGGGTTGACTGAAGTTGGGAAAAGTGAAGACAGCTTTTTTCTTTTATTATTTTTTTTATTATTTTTTATTTTACATATCAATCCCAGTTCCCTCTCCCTCCCTCCATCCCATGTTCCCTGACCTCCCTTCCCAACCAGTTCCCCACCCACTCCACAGGGAGAGTGATGCCTTCCAGGAGGGATCATCAGATTATGTCAACTCATTTGGAGTAGGGTCTAGGCCCTCCCTCCTGCCTCTAGATTAAGGGAGTATCCCTCCATGGGGAATGTGCTCCCAAAGTTCTTTCATGCACCAGGGATACATCTTGGTTCCACTGTCAGAGGTCCCTTAGACTGCCCAGGCTTTCTAACTGAGACCCATGTTCAGGGGGACTGAGTCAGTCCAATGCTAGTTCCCAGCTTTTAGTCTGAGGGTCCTTGACTTCCCCCTTGTTGAGGACAGCTGTCTCTTTGGGTTTCTGTTGCCTGGTCTTGATCCCTTTTCTTATCACTCCTCCTTCTCTGAACTGGATTCTAGGAGGTTGGCACAGTGTTTAGCTGTGGATGTCTGTTTCTGTTTCCAACGGTTACCACATGAAGGTACTAGGATGGCATATAAGTTAATCAATCTCTTTATCAGGGAAGGATATTTAAGGTACCCTCTCCACTGTTGCTCAGATTGTTAGTTGGGGTCATCCTTGTTGGTCTCTGGACATTACCTAGAGTAATCTTCTCTTCAAACCTATTGTGGTATCTCTGTTTTTGCTCTTGTCTATTTATTCTTCCCCAAGCTCAATCCCTGTAACACCACATTGTCTCCTTTCCTCTTCTTCTATTTCTCTTAACTCCCTCTCCACTCACTGCCCACCTATCCACGAGCATAGCAGATATATCCATTTTCTGGTATCTTCTTTAATTTCTCTCTTTAAAGACACAAACTTCTTTCTATATAGTTCTCTCACTTGTTTGTTTAGCATCACCCCAAGATATTTTATGTTGTTTGTGGCTATTGTAAAGCTTGATGTTTCTCTGATTTTTTTTTTATTCAGCCCATTAGCATCTGTATATAGTAGGGCTACTGAATTTTTTGGTTAATCTTGTATCCTGCCACTTTGCTTAAGGTGTTTGTCAGCTGTAGGAGTTCCCTAGTAGAATTTTTCAGGTAACTTATGTAAACTATCATATCATCTGCAAATGGTGAAAGTTTGACTTCTTCCTTTCTAATTTGTATCTCCTTGATCTCCATTCACTTTCTTATTGCTCTAGCTAGAACTTCGAGTACAACATTGAAGAGATATGGAGAGAGTGGACAGCCTTTTCTTGTTCCTGATTTTAAAGAAATAGCCTTAAGATTCTCTTCATTTGTTTGATTTTGGATGTTGGTTTATATTATGTTTAGTTATGTTTGTGTTCCCACTTATCTCTCCAACACCTTTATCATTAAAGGGTGTTGTATTTTGTGAAAGGCTTATTTAGCATCTAGTGAGAATATCATATGATTATTCTTTTTCAGTTGTTTATATGGTGAATCACACTGATAGATTTTTGTATCTTGGTCATGATGGATGATTTCTCTGATGTGTTATTGGATATGATTTGCTTTATTTTATTGAGTATTTTTGTATTAAAGTTCATGAGGAATATTGGTCTGTAGTTGTCTTTCTCAGTTGTGCCTTTATGTGGCTTGGGTTCTAAGGTCATTGTAGCCTCATAAAAAGAGTTTGGTAATGAATCTTCTGCTTGTATTGTATGGAACAATTTGAGGAGTATTGGTATTAGTTCTTCTTTGAATTTATGGTAGGATTCTTCCCTGATGCAATCTGGCCTTGGACTTTTTTTGTTTTTGATTTTGTTTTATTTTATTTTCTTTTTGTTTTTTGGTGGGAGGCTTTTGATGACTGTTTCTATTTCATGAGGGGTTATAGGTCTATTGAAATTGTTTATCTGTTCTTGATTTAATTTTGGTAAGATAGTTATCCAGAAATGTGTTCATTTCCTTTGAGTTTTCAAATTTTGTGAGGTACAGGTTTTCAAAGTATGGCCTAAAAATTCTCTGGATTTCTTCTGTGTCCATTGTTATGCTCCCCTTTCATTTCTAATTTTGCTGATTTGTATGTTCTCTCTTTGCATTATGATTACTTTGGATAAAGGTTTGTCTAGCTTGTTGATTTTTTTTTTGAAAAAGCAACTCTTCATTACATTGATTCTTTGTATTGTTTTCCTAGTTTCTATTTTATTTATTTCAGCCTCCAAATTGATTATTTCCTGGCATCTACTCCATCTGGGCTTCGTTTTGTTCTAGGGCTTTCAGTTGTGCTGTTAAAACTCTAATGTGACTATCCTCCATTTTCTTCATATGGGCACTTAGTGCAATAAACTTTCCTCTTAGCACTGCTTTCAAAGTGTCCCATAAATTTGAGTATGTTGTGTCTTCATTCTCCTTGAATTCTAGGAAATCTTCAATTAATGTATTTATTTCTTGACCCAGGAATGGTGCAATTGTGCATTGTTCGTTTCCCATGAATTTGTAAGGTATCTGCAATTTGTGTTGTTCAATTCCAACTTTAAAACATGATGGTTGATAAGATATGGGGGGGGATAATCCATTTTTTAAACAATATTTTGAGGTTTGTTATCTTGCCTAGTATGTGGTCAATTTTAGAGTAGATTCCTTGTGGCACTGATAAGAAGGTATATTCTTTTGTGTTTGGATGGAATGTTCTATAGATATATGTTAAACCCAATTGGGACATAACTGCTGTCAGTTCTTTTGTTTCTTTGTTAAGTTCCAGTGTGATGACCCTGTCTAGTGGTGAGATTGGATGTTGGAGTCTCCCACTACGAGTGTGTGAGCTTTTATGTGAGTTTTGAGTTTTAATGGTATTGTTGGGTTTTTTCTGTTTTCTTTTTTTTTTACAAATGTGGGTGTCTTTGTATTTGGGGCATAGATGTTCATAATTGAGACTTTATACTGATGGATTTCTCCTGTGTTAACATGAAATGATAACTTCATCTCTTTTGTCTTTTGATTAATTTTGGTTTGAAATCTAAGTTGTTAGAGATTAGGATAGCTATACCTGCTTGCTTCTTGGGTCCATTTGATTGGAAAATCTTTTCCCAACCCTTTACCCAGAGGTAGTGTCTGTCTTTGAAGCTTAGATGTGTTTCTTGTATGCCCCAGAAGTATGGATTCAGTCTTCATATACTTTCTGAGAGCCTATGTATTTTTAGGGATGTGTTAAGATCATTAATATTGAGGGAAAGTAAGGACCACTGATTGCTAATTCTTGTTTGTTTTAGATTTGTTGCTGGCAGTATTATTGTGAGTCTATTTGCTCCATTTTTTCATTTGGGTCTGGTAAAATGGGATTATCTATTACCTATGTCTTTGTGAGTATAGGTAACTTCCTTAGGTTGGGGTTTTCCTTCTAGAACTTTCTGTAAGGCTGGATTAGTGAATATGTATTGTAAAAATGTGGCTTTGTCATTGAATATCTTGATTCCTCTGTCTATAGTAATTGAGGGTTTTGCTGGGTTTAGGACCCTGAGCTGGCATCTGTGGACTCTTAGTATTTGTACATCTATCCAGGACTCTGGCCTTCAGATTTTTCCATGGAGAAGTCAGTTGTAATTTCCATAAGTCTGCCTTTATATCTTATCTGGCCTTTTCTCTTCACTGCTCTTAATATTCCTTAATATTCTCTTTATTCTGTATGTCAGGTGTTTTGATTATCTGGCAAGGGAACCTTTTCTTTCTTTCTTTCTTTCTTTTTTTTTTTTTTTCTTTTTTCTTTTTTGGTGTTTGGTGTGGTTTTTGTACTTTCAAAGGCATATCAATGATTTTGTTGAATATGTTTTCTTCACCTATGAGCTGGGCTTCTTGTCCTTCTTCTATGCCTATTATTCTTAGGTTTAACCTTTTCACAATGTCCCACATTTCCTGGATGTTTTGTGTTAAGGATTTGTTGGATTTGAGGGCCTCTATCATTTTTATGAATTTATTTTTTAAGTCGTTCTCTGCTTCATCTGCTTTGGTGTGTTCAGGTCTAGTTGGTATAGAGTTCCTAGATTCTGGTGGTGTCATACTGTTCTTTCTATTCTTGGGTGTTTTCTTGTTTTGCCGTTTTCTCATCCCTTCTTCCAGTGGGTGCAGGTGGGGTCACTCCCTACCCTGCTCTCCCGGTGGGTGTAAGTGGGCCAGGATTTGATGTCTGTAACTCTGGTTATCCAAGCTCACTTAGAGGTCTCTCAAGCAAAGGCCACAGCAGGGCCACTGATGTGGGGAAGGCAGGTTCAAGAGGTTCTCAAGCATTCAGGCAGAGGGCAGATGATGAGGCCCATAGATCAGGAGAGGGCAGGGTCAAGGTGGTTCTGCATAGATAGGTGGATCCAGTAAGCTCAATGCCTACCCAGGAAGTTCCAAGGATGTGGAGGGGGTTTTGGACCGATGCTGAGACCAAACACTCACCCAGTGCAGTGGGGCCTGCAGAGCCAAGGATGAGGGGAAGGTAGACTCTGGGTGGTATATGAACCTGAGTACCAGGTCTGAGCCACCGAGGCTAAGGTTATAGTGGGAAGCGAGTTGCAGAGCTAAGCCATAGAGTTCTCAGGAAATTATGTGGGGGGATTAGGCCAGGACAGGTCCCAGTTTCACCTTAGGCAGAGGACAGGCAATGGGGCCCAGAGATCATGTGAGTGCAGGCTCAAGGTGGTTCCACATGGATAGGCAATTCCAGTAGGATCAGAGCCGAACCAAGAAGTCAAGACAGCTTTTTTATTAAAGGAGTTTACTGTTGGAAGGTATAAAATAATGTCAGAATGTTTGTAAATTTTCAATTATGTTTTTGAAGATGTGTTTATGTTGGATACATTAATATGTGTATAAATATTAGACATGTTTGGGGGTGAAGATGGCAATTTTTATACTGTAAAGATATGCTTCTTGAAGTTCTTGGTAATTCTATTTTATACATACATAAATGTGCTTTGTAATAGTAAACTTTAAAATAATAAAATAAAAATTTAGTTTTCATAATAAATCTTAATATATTATTGTAGGGATTCACTTATACATTAGAAATGCTATGTTTATTTAACTTGAATTATATCAATATTTACTTATTTCAATAGAAGCAGACTTGCAAATAAAAACAGAGGATTTTCAAGAATATTTTGATGACAATGAAAGTATCCAATCATGTGTATGTAAGCCTTAAATTTGAATTTCTGCTTTAATATTGCTTTATAAACAGCATTGTAAGTTTAAATTGCATGCTAATTTAAATATTTTGAATTAGTACATACTTAAATTTCCTTTTGAAAATATTTCTATTAATTTTTATCCTGTTTCCTCCCTTATTCTTCTATTATAAGATCTAAGAGAATAGTGTATTTGTTATAGCAAACACTTGAAATAGTAACACTACTACTGTCTTGACCCTCCTTTTGTTATGTGTCAAAAAATCACTTCAAAACTTATTTTAGTTGACTGAAGTAAAGTAGACAAAATAACAAAATGTCAATGCAAAAATATTAGCTAACATAAGAATATGGCAGATCTTCACTATTGCTTAGTTGGGATAATCCTTGTGGATCTCTGGACATTTCCCTAGTGCCAGATTTCTCTTAAAATCTATAATAGCTTCCTCTATTATGGTATCTCTTTTCTTGCTCTCTTCTGTTCTTTCCCTGACTCAATATTCCTGTACAATCATGCCCACCTCTTACCTCCTCTTCCTCCTAACTCCCTCTCCCCTCCCCCTGTGCTCCCAGTTTTCTTGGGAGATCTTGTTCCTTTCCCCTTTTCCAGGGGACCATGTTTGTCTGTCTCAGGTTCCTCTTTGTTTCCTAGCTTTTCTGCTAGTGTGCATTGTAGGCTGGTAATCCTTTGATCTATGTCTAAAAGCCATATATGATGAATATGTACCATGTTTGTTTTTTGTGACTGGGTTACCTCACTCAGGGTGGTTTCTTCTAGTTCCAATAATTTGCCTGTGAATTTCATGATTCCTTTTTTTTTCTGCTGAATAGTACTCCATTGTGGAAATATACCACATTTTCTCCATCCATTCTTCAATTGAGGGGTGTTTAGGTTGCTTTCAAATCTTGTCTTAATACCAATACATAATGCAGGTATTAGACATTATTTATTTGCACAAAACTGATAGACAAATGGAAGGAGAATGGTTCATGCTTGAGGTCTGCCGAAAGCCATTTTCATTTCCCTGATTAATAGTTTCTCACCATATCTTATTATGTAAGAAGAGACAGAAGTCACATCCAGAATTATTTCTCCCATGGACTTCAGCTATTATTTAGCTATTGAACATCTGAGAAGTAACAGGGAGTGAGACAGCAGGTATAATAGATGAGACTATGTGATACAATCGAATAAAATAACAAAGTAACCAAAAAAAAAAAAAAACACTGATCTCTTATCTCTGGAAAAGATTTTTTTTTTGGTAGTAGGAATCAGACTAACACTATGGCTTTATATTGAGGGGAAACCTTTCTGAACTGCCACTGAAACTACTTTATAAAAGAAACAGCAGCATTATGGGTAAACAGAATAAAAAGCCATGCATAGGCAAGCTTGTTTTATATGTCAATCCTAGTTCCTGCACCCTCCTGCCCTCCCTTGTTCCCTCTACCAACCTCTCTCTAATCCCCATTCTGCTCCCCAGGGAGGGTGAGACCTTCCATGGGGAGTCTTCAAAGTTTGTCATATCATTTGGAGCAGGGCCCAGGCCCTCACCCATGTGTCTAGGGTGAGGGAGTATTCCTCAGTGTGGAATGGGCTCCCAAAGTCCATTCATATACTAGGGGAAAATACTGATCAACTGCCCAGTCCTCCTAACTAACACCACATTTAGGGAATCTGGGTCTATCCTATGCTGGTTTTCCAGCCTTCAAACTGGAGTTCATTAGCCCCCCCCCCCCGCCTTGTTCAGGTCAGCAGCTTTTATTTATTTCTCCAGCCTGGTCTTGACCTCTTTGCCATACCTATTTTCAATCCAATCTTTAGAAACCAAGATTTTAAAGGAGGCTGGGATTCAGATAACCAAATTTCATGTATCTTTTTATTCCTGGAAGGAGACAAAATGTTAATTAACACTGGGTTGATTAAGACAACTAACAAAATATGTTCTGATTCTCTTTTAATTAATTTTTTCAACTTTAAAATTATTTGTTGAGAAACACTTATATAATGCACCTAAAATATCCACTCTATTATATAAAGAAAATGCACAAAATTTTCTTCATTATTTTGTTATTGCATTCAACCAGTTCATGACAATTAAAGAAAAAGAGGCCCTATTCTCAAGAGGGAGAACATGGGGAGAGGTATATGGGCAGGATTGGAGGGAAGAATGGGAAAGAATAAAATAATATGTTTATACTTAAATTAAAACTAAAAACATTTCTCACATTATTGTGTTCTTACTTATTATATGTACATGTTTAATGAAGAATCAATATATATAGAATACACACATAGAATGCTTGGAAGCAGATATCATTTAATGTATTCATGTTTTTGTATATGTTTTTAAAACATGCTTATTTTAATTCTGAGAATATTCATTATTAAAAACTATAAGTCATGTACATTGTCCCAAAGCAATTTCATTTTCTCATTTAATTCACATTGATTTTTATTTTACCAGAATTCTGTTATGTGTCTTCAATCAAGACCTAGTCCTTATTTATCATTAGGACTATCTCAAAGGCCCATAAATCTTCTAAATGAAGGAGGGAAAGGTAAGAATTATGTATCATCACTAAGCAATTTCAAAGACTTTAAGCAACTTCAAAGGATATTGAAAATCAGGGCAACAAATATATTAGCTAAAAGTCTTGCCTATAGTAAGTGCTTTAAGAAATAACAGTGTATTATGTTGTAATAAGTTTCGCATCTCATGAATTTTTAATACTATTTTTAATTGTGTCTGATAAAAGTTGAATTATTATTCTATTCATTTTTAAATTTATTTTATATAACCAAGTCCATTTAAATGAAAACAAACATTTATAGACAATATTTGGGTATTTGGGCGTCGTTCTTTCCAAACTACTTCCTGCTGGTAAGGGGTGCTGTCTTGGGGGATTCTAAGGAGATGCAGAAATCCTGGCTGTAGTCTATAAGGCTATTTTGTCCAGCTGTTTTGTATGTAGGATCACCTGGTACTCTGTTTCAGGCTGTCTGGTTTGATCAAACCACATTAGTCTGGAAGGAATCCACATCTTTTCATTTTCTGTGGAAACAAAAATAGAAATCCTTTTCCCCAGTAACTTGTCCTTGAATTTAAATTTTGGAGTCAAAGCATTTTTTTATTTAATTTATTGTTTTACATGTTGATCCCAGTTCCCTCTCCCTCCCTCCCTTCCTCCTTCCCTCCCTCCCTCTCTCTCCCTCCCTTTTACCCTCTCTGCCCTCTCACATGCACACTAACCCTCCCATCCCCCCACCCCAATTCCATATGTAGGGGAATGCCATCCAGTTGGGGTCATGTAGATATGACAGGTCATGTGAACTAGGAACTAGGGCTTCTCTCCTGTCTCTAAGTTAAGGCAGTTATCCCTCCATGGGGGATGTGTTCACAAAGTCCTTTTGTGCACCAGGGATACATCCTGGCTCCACTGTCTGAGGTTCCTTAGACTGCTCCCTTCTGGCTGAGACCCATATTCAGGGGTGTCTGAGTCAGTCCCATGCTGCCTATTTATTTTTTAAATTGAAAATAGATTATTTGCTTGTATTATACATCAGATCACAGTTTCAATCCCTCCACTGCTCCAGATTCTTTTCCACTTTCCTTCTTCCCCCAGTTTCATTCCCTGGTTACCAAGAGACAACAGTGAAACAAGACAAAACAAGCTACAATAAGGCAAGGCAAATCCTTCCTATGGAAGCTGCCAATGAAGGCAACCCAATAGGAAGAAAAGAGTCCAAAGATCAGGCAAAGGAGTCAGAGATATACCTTCTGCCAATTGTTAGGAATCCCACAAAAACACCAAGCTAACAGCCTTAACAGAGGGCCTGGTGGAGACCCTTGAAGACCCATGCAGACCCATACAGACCCCATAAATCAGTGCCTTGTCTATTTGTCATCAGAGAGGCTTCCTTCCTAAGCAATGAGATGTGAGGAGGCACAAAGATCCACAGCCAGCCATTATATAGAGAGTGAGACTAAATAGGATATCTTCAACTAGTTTCTCCCTCCAGGGACCAGAAAACCTGGTAGAAGAGGAGGAGGAAAGATCATAGTAGTCATAGGGATAAAGGACCCCTGTAGAACATGTCCCACTGAATAATCTAAGTAGACTGTATTTTTAACTGGAGATTTTCAAGGTATAAGTGTTTGGAAAGGAGATGGGAAATATAATTAAGATGAAAGAAAAGGAAGAAATGAAATGATATAGAACAGGTATTTAAACTGCAAGATATGAAAATGAGTCTTAGGAAATGAGGTGCAGTTTTGAAGTATTAGAGGAATTAGGTGTAAACTAATAGAATGGAAAAGGAAACACAAGGAGCTATTCTTCTCATCTCTATTTGTAGAATCTATAGTTTACAGTCTAGGTCTTAGCAGAGCATTTTAAAGTACATAGCTCTCATAAACATCTGTCACCCATATATGCCATAATTTAAAGTCATGTATAGTGTTGCTTTTTCCCATGGATTCTCATTTTGTGAGAAATGATCAGCATTCCCATCTGCACATTTTAAGTCTAGTAATAGCTTTATTATAATTTCAAAATAACTTATTGTTTTAAAATTAAAAAATATACTAGGCTTAACTAAGACATTTAAACATTTTGTATAGGTGCAAGTAGACTTGTATCCCCATTTAGGTAAGAAAGTTTCTTAAGGATTATCTTTGTTAAGTAAGGAAAGATCACACTTTTGAAAATTTAATAATAATAAAGATATTGTGCCATGGTCTGTGCCTATACATTCAGTTTCCTGGAGGGCTGAGGCAAGTAATTCTTTCCTGACAAGATTTCATGGACACTGTGTTATATACAAAGGCACTGTACATGTATGCTACATATGGAAATTCATACTATTAGTTGACTCATTGGGTTTTGTGTTCTGATTTGTAATCGATCATATCTGTTGCTCCTTAATTTTCACCGACTCTTGTATGTAATAGCAATTCATATATTGAAATACAGTAAAACATGTTTCATGGCTTTCCATAACCTAGAGAAGAAAGCCTAAGTTTCACAAAATATTGTAAAACATTTACAAATATTAACAACCAGCACTAAATCCATATTCTTATTCTTTTTTTTTTTTTTTTTTTTTTTTTTTTGGTTTTATTTTGTTTTTCGAGACAGGGTTTCTCTATGGCTTTGGAGGCTGTGTTGGAACTAGCTCTTGTATACCAGACTGGCCTTGAACTCACAGAGGTCCTCCTGCCTCTGCCTCTGAGTGCTGGGATTAAAGTTACGCACCACCACCTGACAAAATCCATATTCTTATATTTGATCTATTTATTATTTTTGTATATTTTGTTTAATATTCTCTTTTCAATTATTTTTAGTTATACTAATTGTATGTCTTTTTTTCATTAATACATGACTGTGTATATGAACATTTGAAATATGTTCATGTATGAACATGGAATGTTTTATGATGCATTATCTGTGGCAGTTCTTGTTCATTGTGTGTATTTTGTACATCACAAAACTTCATTGGAAGGATAAGCTTAACTGAGCCTCAAAATGAGAAAACTAAAAATTTAATCTTCATAATAATTTTTTATCTGTTCTTACAAAGACTTCTAATATAGAAATATTATTTCTGGATTATTTTAACCAAATAAATATTGCTTGATTTCAACAGAAATGGACATTCAGATGAAAGCAGACAACATTAAAAATCCTGAGGGAAGTGAGAGCACTCATTCATCTGTATGTAATGCTAAATTTGAACTCCCATTTAATATCCATTGTACCATGGGCTAAAGTAACTCTTCTAGACTGAATTATCATGAATAGTATTAAAGCATGTGGAGATAGGAAGATTGAGGCAGGGGAGGAATAGATGAGAGAAACGAGAGAGAGAGAGAGATGCCATAAAAGAGGGAGCCATTATGGGTTTGAAGAGAAAACTGACTCTAGAGAAATGTCCAGAGACCTACAAGGATGACCCCAACTAACAATCTAAGCAACAGTGGAAAGGCTAACTTATCTACCATCATGGAACCCTCATCTAGTAGCTGATGGAAACAGAAGCAGACATCCACAGTTAAACACTGAGCCAAACTGGAATCCAGATGCATAGAGGGAGGAGTGATAAGAAAATGGGGTTAAGACCAGGATACAGAAACTCACAGAGACGGCTGACATGAATAAGGGGGATGTAATGTACCCCAAGACAGATAGCTGGGAAACCAGCATTGGATGGACTCATACCCCCTGTACATGGGTCTCAGTTAGAATGCCTGGGCAGTCTAAGGGACCTCTGACAGTGGGACCAGGATGTATCCCTGGTGCACAAAAGGACTTTGGGAGCACATTCCCTATGGAGGAAGCCTAGAGGCAGGAGGGAGGGCATAGTCCCTACTCCAAGTGACTTGACAGATTTTATTGATCCCTCCTGGAAGGCATCACCCTCCCTGTGGAGTGTGTGGGTGGGGGAGATGGGAGAGTGGTGGATGGCATAGGAGGGAGGGAGGGAAAGGGGAAGGGATGGAGAGGGAACTGGGATCGATATGTAAAATAAGAATAATAAATAAATAAATAAATTTCCGATAATCACTGAAGCAGCAAAGCATAACTTCATTGTTTATATATGAAATAGGCATAGGAAGAAACTCAATTCTGCTGTTTTCACCACCACAAAGATACTTTTTAGATACACTTTAGAGGACGTGGCTATGACAGCCTCTCTCTTCTCCAACATGCAGCTTGTTAACACAGTTGTCCTGAAATTCTCCATGGCAGTCTGCATGGGAAGAGAAGGACACAGTAACAAATGCTACTCCTGACCATGTCCCACTTGAACAATCTCTGGCACGTGGCCATAACTGTCTGGAAGGAAGTCTTAGAAGTACTACTTAGGTGTGTGCCTGGGAAAAAGGAAATGTAGCTGGGTTCCTGTGTTGTAGAAATAAAGCCTGTCTGAAGACTGAAAAAAAATGATTTTAAAAAATTTAACTAGTTAGGGATATTGAATTTTTTTTGAAAGTCCCCATTAGCTCAAAGCTAAACTTTCTCTGGTATTTGCTCCTGATATCTTTACTTATTATCTTTTGTGTACCACCTCTTTTCCCCCTCTTATATTAGAGAAACTCAGGGATTACTCCTGAGCAAATGGACATATGAACAATGTGGCTCTGATGTGCTGTAGTACTGCTCCTGGCAGGCATCCAGACTTACTTTTTATTTCACTAAAGAAAAACATCAGATAAAGCCAAAATAATTTTATTGACATGAGCTGACATGAGAGTATGGTAGATCTGATTCTAGCTAAAACACACCACATAGGTATTTGACAATGATTGTGTACTTTGCAGAAAACTTTTGGAAGACCTATCTTGTGGGAGTTAAACTATCTGAGTTTGAGAACTCATCAAAACCATTTAATTCCTTTGAAGTTGAATATTTTCTCAGACATTCTTGCCATCATATCAGACATAGAAGTGACAGCCAAGGTTTGCTTATTTCCTTAGTCTTGTCATTTTTCATATATGTACTATCTATGCAGTGGCAGGAAGTAAGGCAATAAATATCACATACATGGCTGAATGATTTCCTTTTAAAAATAACAAAGCAACCAGAGAACACATCTTAAGTGACTAACACAAATAATCCTGAAGCTACAGCATTATTGAACACTGCTGAACATTATTGAAGTTTTCTATTATAATGAAAATCAGAAAGAATGCAAATTTTTACTCAGAAAAAAAAAAAAAGCTTTTGAGTGTGGTAGGGAGGCTGCCAAACACATGAGCAAAGACTTGGAAACAAAAGTGTCATAATTGCCAACTAAAAGAGAGGTAATACTTACTTATAATATGTCTTTATAACCTGAGATGGATGGGAAAACACACTTTCAGATTACCAAGCCCATTCACAACATAACTAAAAATAGACTTTATCAAGGAAAGGCCATATTCTTTCTTAATTATAAAAAGATATGTTTATAAAGAGAAAATAATTTTTTTACTCTACTATGTTTGGAAGTACTCATGGAACCAACCCATTGCTGATAATTTCTTTTTACTAGGATACCATGTCAGATCTTCAACCCTGGCATGTTCCTCATTTACCAGTACAACTTATTTCAACACCCAGCGATCTTCTAAAAGACGGAAAGAAAGGTAAAGAGTATGTCATCAGCAAGCTATTTCAAAGAATTATTATTAAAATAGTGGGGGTAATATTTTTACCAGTCTAAAAAGTTGCAAATGAATGTTTAGTAAGGAATTCAACATATTAAGCTGTAATACACCGTGAAGGCAGTGAAGTTTCCGTGATTTAAGTTGATAATGTCAAGATGAAAACTCAAATGTAATTACATGGTGGAGTAATTTTTGCCCAAGGAATTTCAAAGAATAAGGTAGTGGTTTGGATTGTGGCTGAGAGGTAGGGAAAAGGATATTATTCTTTTTGCCTTCATCACTTATAGAAAGACAAGGAAGATTGGAGAACTAGGTCTTAATGTAGCTCCTTTTATTTATAACAGATTATCATAAATATCTATGTCAGTTAAGCACACTCACAATTTAATATCACATATAACATTGCTCCTTCCAGAATACTGATAGATAAGCCAATATGAGAACATCAGGTAGGTGCAAGGAACAATATGAAATGCCAACAGCAGTTCAGTTTCCTGAGGTTCCATTTGCTAATTGATAGAGTTAGAACATGTGCTATTGCAGTCCTACTCAGAAAGTACTTTTCTGTGACAATGAGTTCAAGTATATGCCATACTTTCTCTTCTGTCATATACAGGGTATCAGGCCTTATCTTGGGGTCTTTTAGTCCATTTGGTATAGAGTTTTGTGCAGTGTGAGACAAAAGAATCCCCTTTCTTTCTTCTACATATAGCTATGAAATTTGACCAGCACCCTTGTTGAAGATGCTCTTTTTTTTCCAGTGTGCATTATTGGGCTCTTTGTCACAACAAATGAATATAGGATCATGGGCTTATTCCTGGTTCCTCGATTCTATTTCATTGATCAAGGGCTTTGATTTTAAGTCAGTGCCGTACTGTTATTCTATAGAATAACTTGCAATCTTGAACGGTGATACCTGCAGATGTTTGTCTATTGTTCAGGATTGTTTCAGCTGCCATGGCTGTTTTGAGTTTCTGTGTAGAAATTAATTTTTTTATCCACTGTGAAGAATTCAATTGGAATTTTGATGAGGAACACATTAAATATATAAAACATTCTTTTAATTAGATGGCCATTTTAATAATATGAATCTTATCAAATCTTAAGCATGGGAGGCCTTTTCATCTTCTGGAATCTTCTTCAGTTTCTTTTTTCACTCTCTTGAAGTTTTTATTATACTACATTTTTCACTTATTTGTAAGGCATTTTATTTTCTTTGAGGCAGTAGTTGTGAGTGGAATTTTTTACCTTTTTACTTTCTTGGTATTCTGGTCATTGTGTAGACAGGCTACTGATTTTTGTTGTTGTTGTTAATTTTGTATTTTGAAAACGAATATATTTATCTGTTATAGGAAGATTTTAGCAGAGTTTTTTAGGTTTCATGTATAGAATCATATCATCTGCAAATTAAAATATTTTGATATTGGGCTGTATTGGTAGTGGGGCAGACAGATGTGGTTCTCCATGGTTTTGATATCAGGATAATAGTGGTTTCATAAAATGAATTTGGATTTTTTTCATTTTCTATTTTGTACAATGACTTGAGTATTGGGTGTTATTTTCACTGAAGTCCTGACAGAATTATTTACTGGGACCATACTTCTAGAATTTTTAAGTTGAAAGATTGTAAATTAATGTGTCTATCTAATTTCACATTATTGGGCTATTTAAATTGTTAATTTCATCTGTATTTACCTTTAGCAGGGCACATATATTCATCTGTTTATTTTAGGTTTTTCCAGTTTGGCAGATTTTAAAGTGTGGTATTATCTGAATTTCATCAAATGTCTGCTGTAATAGTTCCCTTTTCTTCCTAATTTTATTAAATTTTGAATCTTCTCTCTTTACTTTGTTTAATTTGGCTATAAGTTCATCAATCTCATTTTCCTTTTCCAAAAAAATACTAAATAATTTCTTTTTAATTGATTGCTTTTTTGATTTCAACCCATATTTTGTTTATGTCATCTCATTTGCCCTTTTGAGTGTTGCTTGTTATGTTTTCCCTAGGATTCTGGATACATTGTTAATTTATTAAGTCCAGATCCCTTGAATATTTGCCCATCATCTTAGGACAGCTATCATTGTGTCCTGCTTTAATTTTCATTCATTTCCAAGAATTTCAAACATTCCAATTGAACTTAATTAATTATTTTTAGTGAAAACATATCCTTTGAATTATTTAGTCAAGTACTTAGTCTTATTTTTATATGAGTTTTACCTATATTTACGGCACAGCTTGGCTAAAATAAATGTAAAATCATTATTGAAAAGTACAGTAATCTTTCCACCAGAAAATTCCTACATTAATTTACTATTTTAGTTTTACAATGATGTCTGTCTTACTTAGGGATATTATCATATAATTGAATGTATGTCTGTTTTAGGTTTTTGTATGCAATACTCTAAATGAGAGGTAATATGAAATGAACATCTGACATGTCTGCATACCTTGAATATGGAACTTTTGTAGTCTAAACCATTGATATTCTTGTTAATTATATTTTCTACATCTGTATGTGTGCAGTAGAATGTTGAGCTCAAATAAGCACTAAAGTTAGAAAGACTAACTTCCATAAAAAAAAAATTTAAACTTTATTCTTTGGATATAAAGATTACTTTCCAATGTCATTCCTCATTTTTTTTTAATTTTAAATATTCACAAAATATCAACAGAGGCTGAATTACAAAAGAAATCAGGGAAAAGTCAAGACAAACTTGAGAGCAAAAAAGATATTCAACTATCTGTAAGTCAATGTTAAATTTGAGTTGCTAATTAGGTATTTTCTTTTGTAAAACAGTTTATCATAGGCTGAATTAAATTTTCTTGCAGGAAAATCTTTATATTGTATAGTCCATAATTTAAAATTAATTTAAAAATTATCTGGTTAGAAATTTAGAACTTTTATGAATGTATAGTAGGCCTAAGCTTCCTTTTAGATTTGTATTTAAATTTTTATACTATACACTTCCTTTCTTTGAAGATTTTTTAACTGAGAAGGACTTAAAGAGATGAACAATGATGTACTTATCATCCAGTTATTCTATAGCCTTCAAAATTTTTGTTTTGTAACATTTTGTATGCCTACACTTTTCTTAGTATGGAAAATACGTTTGTTTTGGTTCAAAAATACTTTCAATAAAATAGGAAATTTGTTTGTTATGATAAAATTCTTGAAATATATTAATTGAATTCACTATTGATATTGACTTTGCAAGGAGAACATTATGGATCTTCAACCCAAGCAGATTCCTAATTCATCAATGGGACTAAGCCCAGGATTCACAGATCTTAAGACAGAAAAACGTAAGACTTCTATGTTATCAGCAAGCCATTTAAAGCATTGGCTTTATTTATTTATTTATTTTCTTAATCAGGGAGATTTTTATATTGTACTAGCCCATGGATTACATATCAAATGTTTAGGACAGTTTAAGACTCATTCAGTGACAATCCATTATATAACTCATGAAATTTCAGTAACATTTTAGGTTATTATTGTCAAGATGAGAACTGCATAAGCACAACATGGTAAATTATTTTTACCTAGGTAATTTCAAGAAGAAAAATTTAAATAGAAAATGGGAAATAAAGATTTAAATGGTAGTATGCAGTCATTGAATTGTACTAATAATTGAATAGATTTTTTTCTGTATTGTTCATTGATAATTTTGTTAAACATATTATATGAAAATTCCATGGATTACAGTTTGCTTCATTTTACACACATCTATTTTATGAACAGAAGAGCATAACAAATGTGCTTTAAAAATATTATTCCAATTCTTACTTAGTTGGCTCTTGGGTAACCTCTGTTTTCATACATTTTGTTGTATGTGCCATGGTTTATTTTTATTGTGAATAAATTTCTAGAGTGGAGCTGTTATACATTTCCTTACCTACTCATCTTTCTGGATGTCCACAATGACTTACTGTCTTAGTTATTGTGACTATTACAGGAATAATATTTTATGTGAGAATATCTCTATTAAATGGTTATCTAAACATATTACTGGTTTCAATTATTAGACAGTTGCTGCTTTTCCATTTTAATTGATTCCATTAATATGCTATTGCTCCCTTCTCTTCCCTGTGTTTTATAGCTAATATATTTTCCATTTAACATTTCTTTCTCTCTATTTTGCTCATGCATTCTTAAATTTCCATCTTACTAAATTCCCCAACTTTAAATTCTCTCATTTTGGAGTACAAAATCCACATTATTTTTCAGTCAGTTTCTAGAACCATTGCCAACTTAGTAGGGTTTTTATTTTCTTTCTGAAATGGAAGACAGTATATACAAAGATGAAATACAGTAACAAACAGATTATATATATATATATATATATATATATATATATATATATATACATTTATATATATAAAATCAAGGTGGCTTCAAAAGCTGCACAATTTCAAAGAAGAAACTAGAAACTTTTGTGTGAGAATAATAAATTTAATTATGTCATATTTAAGTAATAGAGTCTCCAAATGATGAAGATTAAACAGTTGATACCGATTAAATAAAGAAAGGCTTGGATAAATTTACTGGTTTAAGTTTATAAAACATGAATATATGGATGCATATTTAACATGTTGTCTGAATATGGAATCCTTTATGAACTATATCATGTAGTAAAGTTCTTTTTGATTATGCAGTTGACAATTAAATATGGTTAAAGCATAAATGTGAAAATAAAAAATAGTTTTCTTAAGCTTTTACACAATTTTCTTTTATTTGTAAATCTAACTACTTTTAATATTTTATTCATAATCTATGTAAATTAAATACTGAATTCTTTCAACAGAAACACACTTACAAATGAAATTGGAGGAAAATCAGAAACATATTGATGGAAATGAACACATTCAATCATCTGTATGTAAAAGTTTATTTGCCAAATTTTAATCACTATTGTTTTCTTTAGTAAGCAAGTAAGTATATACTAAATGCAATTACACACACACACACACACACACACACACACACACACACACAAACACCCCACATGGAATAAGTAGTCCATAATTAAAATTTATCTTTAAATATATTTAGTCAGAAATTTTGAACCCTTTTGGAGTCTACAGAAGCCCATATTAGTTTCATTGTTTTTTATATTTTGCCCTTATTTTTCCTTATTTTCCTTATTTTATCCTTTATTTGTAAAAATTTAAGGTAAAATATAAAAATATATTATTAAAAACTACCTGAAATTTTTTTCTCATTTTACATAACAATCCCAGTTCCCACTCCCTCCCCTTCTCCCACTCTCCCACCACCCCACCACCATCTTCACCCCATCTGCCCCTCAGAGAGTGCAAGTGTTCCCATGATGAGTCAATGAAGTCAGGCACATCTCTTTGAGGCAGGTCCAAGCCCCTCCCCACTATATCTAAGCTGAGCAAGGTGTCTGTCCCTCCAAAGAAAATGGACTACAAAACGCAAGTTCAAATACTAGGAATAAACTCTGGTCCCATTGCCAGTGGCCTCTCAGACGGCTCAAGCCATACATATGTCACTCACATTAAAAGGGCCCAGTTCAGTCCCATGCTGTAGTCCAGAGTGATCAAGCTCCCACTTGCTCAGTTCAGTTGTCTCTTTGGGTTTGAACTTAGTGAAGTTTTATCTAAAATATTTAGACATTCATTCCAGAATAAAGAAGACACAAAATTATCATTGCATTATACTAATAATCATTAAGTCTATTAAAACCTGTCTTTTTAAAAATGTCAAAGCATTGATGCATATAAAAATGCTAGTAATCCCCATGACATAATGCTGATCAAAATTTATCCATACAGAACTAAAAGCTGAAAAAAATAACATCACTTTTTAATAATGAACAGGTATCATTTCATGTGTAATTCTGAAAACTCATATAAAGTACATGTTTTTTTCATACCTTTCTATAATTTCAAGTTTTTGGTTTAAAAAGTAATCATGAATTAACATTGCATGCTGAGTATATTCCCTTAATCCTCACCGTTTCCCAGTTATCCATTCACTCCACTTCCTCTTGGTTTCCATTGTTCCCGAGAATGTTGCTTCCAGTTATTGCTTCTAGTTATTGCTTCTATGTATATTATTCTCTATACATACACAAGTTTATAAATCTCATAAAATCAATGTGCCTAAAACAAGAGAAGACTTGTGATATTTGTTTCTCTGAGGCTGTATTAATTTGGCCAACACATTTATCTACAGTTGCATGACATTTTCTGCAAATGACATACTTCTGATTTTTATTGACATATTTTACTTATAAAAATGTGATTCTATATCACTGATGTTTTGATTTTGAATTTATTTTCTCCTGCCTACCATGTGATGTTTATATTCCTCTTTTATATGAGATTAGTCATGGACTTCATCTAAAGAGCATATATTATATATTCTTCATATATTTTAAAATAATATTCTTTCTTTTAACTAAGAAACAGCAAGATACTTGTTTTTAAAATAGGAAATTAATTTTCCTGTGGAGTAGTTGGAAAATCTTATTGTAACTTATTTTGATGTTTGTTTTTTTCAGGATAGTGTGACACATCTTCAACCAAGGCGAATCCGTCATTTATTGATGGGGCTAATTCCAAGACCAGTGAATATTATAAGTAGACGAGGTAAAGGTAAGAGTTGTATATCGTGGTTTAATAAAGATCAGGATAAACAAATAGACCAAACAGATGTTTATTCATGGAGAAATAACTTACAACCTAGACAGATGAACACCAGCAAGTTCCACCAGATGCTCTCCTCTCCACATCCTGCCAGCAAGAAAGCATTCCCAGCTCCTCCTCAGACCTCCTTCCAAAGGTCACTTCCACCCCTGGCTCCACCCCCCAATGGGTGTAATAGGTGCCACAGAAGGAGATAAAGTGAATATCTCACTACAATTCCCCTTTTTGTCTAAGGATTTAGGCTTGATACAAAACCATATGCAAAACAGTGACTAACAAGTATGCTCTAAGAAAAGGAAAATCGAGAACAAAACAACCTACATATCTAGTCCTAGGGTGAAGGTGTAACAGAATTTACAATAGAGTTTTCCTAAGCTGAAAAACTTAAGTCTAGTACCTAATATATCTAACTAGGAGGAGAGAATAATAGTTGTGATAGTTTAATCTTCAACCTCATCAAGACCTGAGAAGGAAAATAATGATACTAGGGTAGACAGGAAGTGTGGATGGGCAACTTCCAAAAGGTGCAGTGAGGACAGAAACAGAAAGATACCTGGATAGTCACCCAAAGTCTCAAAGCAACGTTGGTACACCCAATTTTGGCTATGGCCAAGAGAACTTGACAGACCTCAACAACAGTAGGGAGGTAGAATGGCTGTCTTACTCTGACTTGGCAAGGTCCAATAGTCCTCTATATTTGTCTCCTGTAAAGCAGCACATAGGACTGCATGTCCAAATCAGTGGTCAAGGTGGGGGCAGTTCTTTGCCCAGGAGGCCATTAGCTGAGGCAAGAATGGACTCCAGCAGGAGCAACAACAGTGTCCAACATATTTTTGGGAAAGTGCAAGGTGCTGTCAGGAGCAACAGTGTCTCATGTCAATGGAGTATTAATTTTAAAACATTTAAATGCCATGTTCTGCATGTCTATGAAGTGATTGAAAATTAAGCATCTATGTCTGACTAATCTCAGGTACAGGAAAACATGAGTGAAGATAATCTGTAATACTCTATAATAAGATATTATTTATCAGAGAGATTTAATAAACCAAGTAGTTAGAATGAAGAATAAGAAAAGAGAAGGTAATTAGAGTTTATGAAGGGATGCTTAACAGATATATATATATATATATAATGGAAACTTGAAAATAAATAATATTGCTTTTTTAAAACTAAAAGTTGGTGTACACAGTATGTAAATCATGTTTTAAAACACAAAATTGAAAAAGAAATTTATGTGAATTTTCCTGTCTTTATATTGCCTTCTTTGGAGTCTTGCTAAGCACTAAGATAATGGTCTTGCAGAGCTGTTTTACATATCATGGGCATAAGTAAGCATATTCAGTCAGGTATGGTTTATCCAAAGTTTTCTGTCTCAGAGCCACTCAGTCCAAAATACCCAGCAGCTGCTTCCTAAATTACCACACAAAGGTACTTATGAATGCTTGACCAATAGCTCAGATGCATTATTAACTAGCTCTTATACTGTAAGTTAATCCATAGTCCTCATTTATACTCTGCCATGTGGTGGTACCTTTCCTCAGTGCAGCATGCCCCAATCTTGCTCTCTCTGCATGTAACTAGCTTCTCTGGTCTCCAATCATCTCATTCCCTTCATCCTTGGCTTGGTCACCCTGCCTATATGGGCCTGCCTACTGGCCAATCAGTGTTTTATTAAACCAACTGTAGTGACAAATCTTTACAGAATACAGAGGATAATTCCACAGCCTTTCCCTTTTTTGTCTAATTAAAAAAGAATGGTTTTACCTTTAACATGGTAAGATTATATACAACAAAAAGTTATCAAGTAAGAATTATAGTTATAGTATCCAGTCCATTTATATCTAGCAAAATTAAAAAAATTATTATCTATCTTATTTCTGTGAGTTCAAGGTTTATATTTAATTTACCTTTTATTATAACAAAGAAAGACTATAACCATCTAGTCTATTATATATCATATCTCCAAAAGGATTCAATTTCACAATATTTGCTTCTGTTCTTCTCTTTGTACATATAATACAAATGGTCTTTTTAGTTCTTGTCCAATTAAAATTTAAAACTGACTTTGGAGTCACAGTATGGCTCTCTCCTTCTCTAGACCCAATTATGTTTGTTAAAGTAAAATACAAAATTTTTATCTCATCAGAAGAGTCACCTTATATGGGAAAGAAGAAAAGCAAAAATTAAGGGACTATTGTATTGCCACTAATCTCATAATCCTTTGGTTTTACTTTGAGTCTTAATAGCTTTTCTTAAGGTATAAATACTGTGTCAAATTTTATATCAATAATATATACATACTTTTAAACTTTTTCATGATATTAATGGTCATATATAATAGTAATTCTAGAAAAAGCTTCATCTAGCTTCTTATACATATTCTCACGTTTGAGTCTCTATCAAGTAACTAGGAATTCAGTTTTTGTTGTCTAGACGTACATAACAAATCTTAATTCTTTAACCCCTTGAGATCTGCTGCAAATGGCACTTACAATGTTTAAGGTTTCTTTAATGAACCATGTCCATGCCCAGCAGAGACCTTTGAAGGCTCTCAAAGGATGATGGGGCCCCACAACTACAATTCCATCAAGACTATAACACCACTAAGCTGAAAAACACCACTTAAATTTTGACTTTGTACTATAAACTGGTTAGGAAATGTCAAGGTAGCTAGCTGAGCAATCTCTAGCTGAGATGACTACTCTAGCAAGCCCTGCACTTTCCTATTATGCAGAGATTGGAAAACAAATGACATAGCTACCTCTCCCAGGACTTGCCCATTACCCAAATGTTCCTTTTCAGGATCTGCTAAAGATGCTATCACCCTCAGATAGTAGGAAGTAAATTTAAGAGTACACATCCCAGGAGGGTTGGTTACAAGTCATTATTGGTAATGGTGAGAAAGAAAGTTGAACAAAGGAGATTAGATTCAGAGTTCTTGCTTTGAAAAAAATGAGATATAAGTAATATAGGATATAAAGGTAGATTATTGAATCTAGTCTTAAAAGAAAAAAAGGGGGATTTATAGAAACAGGATTAAAGGGTAGATTATTTGGGAAGGGCATTTAAGATAACCTCTTCACTATTGCTCAGATTGTTAGCTGGGGTCATACTTGTAGCCTCTGGACATTTCTCTAGAGTCAGTTTTATCTTCAAACCTATAACGGCTCCCTCTATTATAGTATCTCTTTTCTTGCTCTATTTGTTCCCTGACTCAATTCCTGGTCCCACATGTTCTTTACTCCACTTCTCTTTTTCCTAACTCCCTCTCCACTCACTGCCCCCCCCAATAAGCTCAGGATATCTTGTCGCTGTCCTCTTCTGCGAGGGACCTTGTATGAATCTCTTAGGTTCCTTCTTGTATCTTAGGTTCTTTGGCAGTGTGAATTGTAGGCTGATGATCTTTGCTCTATGTCTAATAACCATATATGAGTGAGTACACACCATGTTCCTCTTTTTGTAACTGGGTTACATCATTCAGGATGGTTTTTTCAAGTTCAATCCATTTGCCTGCAAATTTCAAGATTTCAAGATGTACCACATCTTGTTTGTCCATTTTTCAGTTGAGTGGCATCTAGATTCTTGCTATTACAAATAATGCTGCTATGAACATAGTTGAGAAGATGCCTTTGTTGCATGAAAGTGGATCATTTGGATATATGCCTAAGAGTGGAATTGCTAGGTCCTAGTTTTAAATATTTTATATAAGTTTGGATTTTTTTGTATATTGACACAAAGATGATGTTTTTAGAACATACTATACGCACATTACTAATCTTATTCAAGGTTTTGTAACTATGTAACTCATTTAATAACATAATGCAAATTTTGGACATTGAACATTATTATTACCAACTATTTAGGATAATAAATAAATGTTGGTTAGTAATTAGACACCTATTACAATACAACTTGTAGTCAAATTTTCAAGGCTAAACAGATATATTTTAGATAGACAGGTCATCTTCAAACCCTTCAGAGAGCTACAGAACATGGCATTTAAGATGTTTTAATAACATAGCCTCTTTTCTAATTTTTGTGACAATGAGACATGTCTGCTCCTGGCAGCACCAATCTACACTGGATAAGATGATGGACATCTAAGAAACTCCACAAAGTGTTTACTTTCTCTGTGGCAAAAGTTAGTCATTGGGCAAAAACGTGCTCTTCCTCAACTGCTGACAATATGCTGTCCAAATTGGACAAGCAGGACACAAAAGAAAGAACTGCCAAATTGCCAAGACAAGGTAGGACATCTCTTCAGAATATCCTGCTTCATAGAAGTCTATCAGAGATGTGGAGCCTATAGGCCAAAGATGGATGTCCCAACATTGCAGAAATACCTTAGGTGACTGTCCAGGAAGCCAGCTGTTTCTGTTGTTTATTATCTTTTCTTAAAAGTTGCTTGCTTTCACATCCTACTTCCTCAAGTAATATTTTTTTTCCTTCTCAGGTCTCTGATGGAGTTGAAGACTTTATTATTATTATAGTTTTTCTTGTTATGAAATTTAGAAAAGAAAGTCACTGAAGAAATATAAAGTGTATAATGTTGAGATAAAAACATAAAATGATAGTTTTTTTCTTTTAAGAGTTTTTGGTAATACAAGATAGAATAAAAAGTGAATTAAGTACAACCTTTAGGACTCACACTGAATTTGTCCATTGTTAATAGACTAGATATTTTTCATGTATTTATTACCTTATATATTGTATAAAGTTGTTAGACTTGTTATATATAATTTTCTTATATATATATTAACCTTTTTATATTAGACAAAAGGGGGAAATGTGGTGTTATTACATTTACATTCTGACAAATAAAGCTTGCCTGAAGGTCAGAGGGTTGAGGTAACCACTAGTTAACCACAGAGGTCAGTTCAGACAGACAGGAGGTGACATGGCTGGGCTGATAGAGAAAGTGATAAAGTAGGAAGAGACAGCAGCTCGGTCTCTTTTCAGCTGGGAAGTTGTGTTGCTGTGTTTGTTCCTTCATCACTCTGATCTTTCAGCATTTAATCTTATATGTGATTCTGGGCTTTTATTATTAAGACCTATTAGAACTTGTGATACAGCCATGAATATAAAAATGTTATTTAAAATACTGTTAATTTAAAATATAGTATCTTGTGACAAAATAACAGAGTTGGGAATAATTTCATAATGTAGTTATGGGGAGTTCTATAAATATTGAGAAGCCAGAGAATTTCCATATTTTAATTTCGAGGACATGATAAGGATGAGTTCAAAAATGTATTCTATGAAAGTAATTGGTGAAAAATAAAGGAATTGAAGCCAATTCATTATTTAAATAAATCTACTCTAACATCAACAAAAGGCCTGGGTGGACATTGATAACAGTGTTCATGCCAATGTGTCATCTGTGGGACTTATGAGTTCTGTAAATGGTTGGGTGAGGAGGTCTCTGCAAATGTCATAAGACTGTCTGACATAGGTGCCATTTCCCCCTCCCATTTGCTCTCTTTCAATTCAAGGGAGTCTCACCTACATGACTGCCTAAACATAACCAGAAATGAACAACACCAGTAGACATGATAAAGCAAGCACATGGGAGAATATGTTTCCCATAAATTCTTTTGAGTATGAAGATATACTAACATATGACAATTTAAAAACCAAAAATCAATATAGAAGATCTTCCTTGAATACTCAAATTGTTAATCATGCTAGAGCAGAATTACTTAACCTTTAATTTAATATGTAATATTAAATTGGGAATACAATTTGTGTTTCCTTTTGATAACCATGTATCAATACTAACAGATAATGATACATATAGTTTATAGTCCTTCTCACACAAGTTACGCAGAAACAATACATATATCCAAACAATGAACAATGTGAGAACATGTAAGCATACAATTATCACAAAATATTCTGAATATTTTATAAAATTATCTTGTACATAGAAGTTCATTCATCCACAAAATCTTTGTGGATAACTGGATAATTTTATCCTTTCTTTTAATATATTAACATCAGTTTTCAATTCCTAAATTACAAACAAAAGAAAGTGACTTGATACATTTTTATAATTTAATGGACTAATTTGCCATGAAGTGTTCCATTAAAGAAATACACACTTACCTTTTGTTTTCCTGTTTATTAATGGTCAGCCAAGCCAATTCTTAGTATAATGATCAGATACTATATAAAGTTTGGTCCTCTCTATTACTCTTCAGTTCAAATTGGTATATGTTCCTTTTCTATTTCAGTTACATTTATCAAATTGCCAATTTGTTAAATATTCTCCCAAGCAAACAAGAAGTATTATCCTCCCAAATCAGAATCTAAAGTAACAATTTTATATCAATTACAAAGAATATCTTTAAATGACTTTAATAATTTCTTTGTATATATGTGGGTTAGGTATTTTTGCATCTAAATCACTATATATTTCCCTTGATTTTCTTTTAGAATCTCAAAAGAAATGTTCTTCGCCAAAAGTAAGTATTTTTATTGTACCCATAAAAGTTGCATTATATTTATGAAATATATATTAATTATTGAGTGATTTGTTTCAAATTCCATTCAGGGTTCCACTGGAATAAAAGTTGATGCAAATGCAAAACTAGAAAGAAAAGAAATCCAAACATTCAAATCAGGTAACTTCCCAAAATTATTCTGGAAAGAAGCATTTAAAAATAAGTGAAATAGGTGTAGTGATATCAGTTTTACTTCATTTTCTCCTATTGTGATAGAAGGATTTGTTCTAATTAGTAAATTTTTCATAGCTTCACCAATGTTTTAAAAAGTACTTAGAATCTTATGAAAATGTTTTATAATGGAATATTTCTTAGAATATTTCTACTTTTATGTTCCTGCATCCTAACATTTTGAGACAAATTCCCATATTTTTTTAAGAGACACGCTGGGGTTAACTATGAAAGTGTAGTGTTTCCCATATTTTAAAAATTATCATAGAAAAGATGGTCAGCATCACACACATTTTTATTTCTGTGCATTTTCCCTGAGGGCAGAGCTCACCAAGATCTCAGCTGTTTGAAGACAATCTGGGCAATATAGCAAGATCATTTCATATTCTTTATTTTCTGTTATTAAAAATAGATTTATCAATAATATGTTCTGTTTAGAATTTCCTTTGACCCAACTCCTTCACATATCTAAATCCATAACCTTTTCTGTTCTCTATCTTTATAAATTGAGGCATTTATAAAATATGGAAAATTAAAAAATAATAAAATAATATAAAAGCAAACAAACAAACCTGAAAAGGACAAAATAGAGAACCAAAATGAAATCACAAGAAACACATAAAGAGAAAGACTCACACATTAGCACCCACTAAAATTCCCTAAGGACCCAAAATCTGGAAAACATAATCCATTAACAAAAGACATGTAGGGTAAAAATAAGTAAGTTAAAAGTAAAACAAAAAGGAGTTTGTGTATGTATTGAGAATCTACTGATGAAAATTATTTTACCTGTGAGTAGTTGTAGATTGGAAGTAGCTTTGGGGCATGTGGTTCTTTTTACAATAAGGAAATACTTGGTGGAGAAACAGGAGAAAGAGAAACCGAACAGATCATTCTCTGTGGAAAGGCACAGCAAGGAAACAATGAAGATATGGACAGTGAGGAGTAGGAAGATGTTGAAGTCATACTTGCCACCTGGGACTATGGTGAAGGAAATGAGAAATAAACTGGGGTGGGGAGCCTCTTTGCCACCCAGGACCCATGGATGGTGTACCCAACACATACCCAGGAAACCATTCAGCCCACTAAAATCAGCATGGCACACTACATGAAGCAATGGGCATCAACACAAACCCTGACTAGTGTCTGGCCAGGGATCCCAACATGGCCCTTGGCAGCAGCTCGACCCAGATATCACCATGACCCTGGGTAGTAGCTGACACTGGGGCCATAACCATCTGAGCAGCCTTTGCTGACCCCTGGGACCATGGTGACAACCAGGTCTAGCTGCTTTTGAGTACCTTGTCTCTGTTCATGGTCTATGTTAATGCCCATGCACATGTTCCATGGTGCCCCACAAAAGTCCCATGAAGCCTGGGACCTGGGCTGTAATCTGTGGCTTTGTTGTTGTCTAGATGTCATCCTATTACCAGAGCCATACAAATCTGTGTGGTGAGGGCTGCTGACTGAGGCCATGTCTTGGTCTGTGATTTAGCCACATCTGGGGTCTGTGTTGAATTCTGTGGCCCAGGTTGCCACTATGGCCAATAAAAAGACCCAGAATTTGGGCTGTAGCCTGTGGTTTTGTTGGAGTCTGGAGACCACACCAGAGCAGGGGGCAAACAAATATAGGTGGCCTGTGCTGTCACCCGGGGCCATGGTGTAATCTGGGCCCAGGCTGCTGCCAAGGGCCATGTCTAGGTACATGGTGCTATAACAGCCAGGGTCTAGATTGACATATCTGTCTCCTGTTGGCACCAGGAATCATGAGGATGACCAGGATCAGATCAGATACCTGAGTCCAGGCTGGTGTCCTTGGGCCAGTATACATCCAGATCTGACTGGTCTGCATTGATACTCTGTGTCATAGTGTCATTGGGCCAGAGCTGCAGCTGAGGGCCAAGTCAGGGTCCATGACCCTACTACAGCCAGGGCTAGCATTGTCTTTCACTGAATACTACAGCAAGAGAACTGGCCCCTCCTTGCTGGAGAGATGGTTGCTACCCCTCACCACAGGCCAGGGTAAACAGACCCTAAGGACATGCATACACAGGAGCTGACTCCATCTCCTCGCTAAGGCAGGTGGCCCCAGGGGAATGGACTGAGAGCTTAACTATCACCCAGGCACATAAGCAGATTTTGGGTTGACACACCCTACCCCATCTGGGACCTGCTATAACTGGTGAAGGGACTAGTCCTGTGGAAGGATACCCATACAATCTCCAAGACTCAAGGCGGACACAGGATATCCCAGAGGAGTTCTGGTGAGGATCAGTGATGGGGGGTATAGCAGAAACTAGAGGTCTTGAACTCATACCAGTGACTCACTGCAATGACTATTTGCCAGGAAAGCTGATGGACAAGGGGTATACTACATGACATAAGGAAGCCTCTGTTGCTACCAGGACAGATGAAGAGGTGTGGAGAGACAGGGAAGAAGGAGAAGCAAAGAGATTTTTCTGATGTTGTGGTTTTTGTTTTGTTTGAGTTATTTGTTTTTGCTTTCATTTTCTTGCTTATTTCAATTTGTTTGTTTTTGTGGAGGATGTTCATTAAGGATGAGGGGAGGATATGGATGAACCAGGAGTTAAGCAGAATTGGAGTACAGAATTGACTCCAAAAGAGTCAATAAAGAAGTTAAATATATTTTTTAAAAAATTAAAAAGGGAAATAGTGGCTTATGTCCACTTCTCTCCATACTGGTAATCCATTTGTGCAGAACTGTTCAGATGCTATGTGCTGCCAGAGTGTCTGTGAGTTCACATGCATATCAGCCCTTCAGTTTTTGCTCACATTATTTCTACTTCCTCTTCCACAGGGGTCCCTGAATCCTGAGGGGCGGGGATTGATGGAGATATCCAATGACTGGAGGTCTCTCAACCTCTGCACCATGTGGTTTCTATATTTGTTCCCATCTACTGCATGAGGAGGCTGAATAAGAACTGATCTATAAGTAGAGCAGAAGGGTGTTAGGAATCATTTTGTTTCCACTTTTTTTTGTGTTTGATTTTCCATTAGGTCCTGTCTGTGACCTATGTAATTTCAGGTTTTTGGCAACCAACGATGCATCAGGGATAAGTTCCATACCATGTAATGGGTCTTCAAACAAATCAGATATTGGTTGGTTACTCCCAAAAGCTTGATGTCTTTATTACACTAGCATGTCTTCCACGCATGTCACCATTGTAGACAAGTGAGTGGGTTTGTAATTGGAGTAGTGTTTACCTTTCTCATTTGGTGTCATGCAATGTATATTCCAGTACCATGAACACTAGTCTAGCAATTACCTACATCTTGCATTTGCTTCTAATTTTGAGCCAATTTATCCACTGTTTTTAATAGATCATGGAATGAAGTTTATTGCAACAAATTACATTATATAATATTCATATTATGTAATATATATATATATCAGTTTTCATATTGACAGTGTATGTGACTCTTCATTATAAACTGTCTCCTAGATTAGAACCTCAAAGTCATATGTAATAAGTTATTCATTCATTAATGTTACCTAATTACAACTTTTTTCTGACTTCAATTTCCCTTTTGTATGGATTACTAGTCCTTTCTTGTGCTTTCAAATTATACCTAACTCAATACTTCTTTTTGTGTTAGTGTTTATGTTTCACAACATTATGTCAGCCAAAGTCACTCTACAAGTCTCAGCTCTACCTCTCCCTCTTGGAATATCATGCCTGAAAAGTTTTCACTAATAGCTTTTAATTTTAAGCACCTCACATCTAGGAGGACCTCAATATTTTTTGAGCAAAACAAATAGTGACTGCTTATATAAAGATGGTTGCCAAAGTTTAACCTAACCTATCCAGTAGTGAAAGGAATAAGTTTAAAAGCAAATAAAGTTAAGCTGGTAAAGACAAAATAAAAAAAAACATGATATAAAGTATTAATTTAATTCAAAGTAGATGCCTAGCATTAGGGAAAAAAAAAATGAAGTAAAACTTTTCAAAGTCAACTGAATCTGAAAAAAAGCAAGGAAAGTTAGCACCAAGATGAACAAAGGAATGAAACTTGCATACACACAGAGAGAAAACTAGGAAATAATTGCAATGCCTAGCGGGTTAGCAAGTTGTTTAAACTTTCTGTTTTGAAGTATTGAAGTATTAAATGGTATGCGCAGTAAATTCATGTTTTTTAGTTTTAAAATTTTAACCAAGAAATATTTGGTTCTGTCAAAGGTTATATTGAAGTTACATATAATGGGGATTATCTTCTAAAATAAAGTTTTCAGCTAAAGCTAAATGAGCTGAATTGCAATTCTCAAATGATAAAATAGAACAAATAATATCCATTATTACAAATTTTAAAAATTTGGCTGTGGTGTAATCAGTGTTGTTTTCTTTAAAGTTTGTTATATAACTAAGTATATTTATTTATTAGGAACAGTGGTATTAGAAGATGACCAAAATAAGTCTGATGGCAGGAAAAATGACCAGCCAGTGGTATGTAAACAGTTAAATTTAAAAACTAATGTTACAATGTTCTCTTTTAAAAACTAATATAGGCTAGAAGAAATGGCATTATATTTTTATACTTTTTTATGGGATAAATAGGTAATAATTTCTTCTTTTATTATAAATATTCTTAAATGACAAATGTTTCCTTCTAAAAGAACCATAATTGCTCTTTAATATGAAAACTGAGTTATCTTTAATATTCAACTCTCATTAAAGGGTTCAACAAACAACAAGAAACATACAAGCAATGAAATGGAAGAAGCAACCCACTCCTATGGCTGTGCAGCAGCATCTGTGGCTCCTGATGTTTCTGAGGCTTCTGTTGTAGCTGCTATCGTTGCTGCAGCGGTTGTTGCTGCAGCTACTCCCGCTGCTGCAGCCACTGCTGCCTCTGCTGCTGCTGCTGCAGTTATGGCTGCTGTTGCACCTGCTGTTGCTGCTGCTGCTTCTGCTGCTGCAGCTATTAATGCTCTGTCTGCTGTTGCCCCCGATACTGCACCTGACAGTTCTGCTGTTTCTGTGGCTGCTGCGACTGCTGCGACTGCTGCTGCTGCTCCTGCTGCTGCTGCAGCTACTCCAGACCCTGCCCCTGCAATGGTTGCTGCTGCTGCTGCCGCCGCTGCTGCCGCCACAGTTGCTGTGGCTTCTGTGGCTGCTGCCTCTCTCACGGTTGCTTCTGCTTCTGTTGCTGCAGTGGTTGCTGCCACTATCACTGCAGCAGCTGGTTCTGATGCTCCCATTGTTGCTCCTGCTGCTGCTGCTGTTGCCGCCGTTGGTGCTGCTACTAGGCCTGCTGTAGCAGCTGCCCTGGTTGCTTCTGTTGCTGCTGCTGCAGTTCCTTGTGTTCCTCCTCCTGTTACTACGTCAGCTGCAGCCCCTTCTACTGTTGCTGCTGCTACTGCCGCCGCTGCTGCGGTTGCTGCTCATGCTGCTGCTTCTCCCGCTGTCGCCGCTGCTGCAGCAGCAGCTGTCGCCATTGCTGCTGCTGCTCCTCAGGGTGCTCCTGCTGTAGCTAAGGCTGCTGTTGTTGTTGCAGCAGCAGACCCTCCTGGTGCTTCCTCTGCTGCACCCGCTATTGCACCTGCTGCTGCTGCCCCTGTTACAAAAAAACTTACTCTACAAAGAAATTATGCGGAAGCTAGAAAGCAGCAACTTCCTGTTGAGGAGGCTGATGACCATGATAGGTAAGACTAGGAAGATTTGAAACTAGGTGTTGCTCCTGCCCTGTAAATGGATTCGTTTTGATAATTTTTATACCTAACGTGTGGTTTTACTAGGGATAATCTTGAATGGACAGCCAACAAGCAAACCAAAAACCTAAAAGATAAATAACAAAATGAGGTACCATTATTTCCCATTAATATTGATGAACTTGCTTAAAAGATAATATCCAACACTGTCAAATGTGAGGCAAAAGAAATTTGTAAACCAGTATGTATACCAATTTTGAGTCATTATATAGTAGCAGTGATTCACACATCGTAAAATTGTCACTACTTTGATCCAACAATCTCACTTTGAGTTTGGGTTCTTTGAGAATAGGAAAAAGCTGTTCTTAAATACAACTACACACATTCTGAAAACCCATATTGTATATCAGAGGCAAAATAGAAAAGGTGCACAGATATGTGATATTTATTGAGCATAGTCGAAGAATATTTAATATGAAGGCTTTGAATGTATATGTAGATGCACACACAAGGAACAAGGATATTTATTTAAGCATCATTAGCTTATGACAGTACACTTAAAATAACCACCACTAAGAATTAGATTACTATATCCATATAAAATGTAGTATATGAACATTTAAAAATGACTTTCCATCTAAGTTCTCTATAGTGTACCCATTATTTCACAAGTAAAATATGCTAGGGACATGGATTTTGACAGCACATCTCAAGCACATGTTGTTCTAATACTACATCTGGAGGGTTGCAAAAGGAAGTTGCTTCTTAGAATGAAATTGTACTTGCTAATTAAGAAAAATATTAGTTGTTAGATCTGTCTGTTTCTTCCCAGTGCTGCTGGGGTTGATAACCGAAACCCAAAATTAACCTTTGTGTTGCTTTAAGGATCACTCCCAGTAAGTGTCAATGTTTCTGTTGTGCATTCTCAGTTGATATGCACCAGCCCAATTTTAGTTTAAAGTTTACTATCAGATGTCAGAGGAGATATGCCTACTTTCCTTGGTTTCCTCCACATGATGGGTGATTTCATGCTTTTTATTCTTAGTTCACAAGTTCTTTACCCTTGGAGATCTGAGATCTGAAATAACTGAAAGCACTTTTGTTAATGAACTAAGCCAATCTAGCTTTCTTTGTTTGCGTTTTGGCTTGTGTAAGTGTAAGGTTATGTGTAAAGATGTTTATTAATGACTGCAATTTTGTTGCCTGATTTTCTGGTGTGTTGAGTTATTATCATTTTCTTTCATTCTCCCAAGTTATTATCAGGGGCTGTGCTGAATTCTCTTATGGGGCATAATGGATTTGTTGCCAATGCTTTGTTCACATATTGCTCCCAAGGTATTTATTCTTTCCCTTGTCCCATAATTGGGACTGTTTTCTCTTTCCTTTACACACAGTTTTTACTTAAGCATCTTCTGATGTGTTGGCTTAGTGATAATGAGCTGATGTTCTGCATTCGTTTTGAAACATTCTATTAGCTGTGAATTTTTAAAATCCATTTTTGATAAGCAATCTTATTTGGATTTTACCTTCAAATCATTGAATGTCATTCAATCTTTCCTGTTTCTACATTGGTATATGAGAAATTGAATGTTGTGATATTTTATCCTCATACAGTATTTTTCTGATTTCTTTCTTAAAATGTTTTTAATTGAAGTAGAATTATATCACTCTCCCTCATTCTTTCTCTGACCCCACCCACTTACTTTACCTGCGAATGACCACCCCCTATTTCTCCATCAATTTCACACTGATAGCCTTTTTTTCCTTTGGTTGTGGTGTGTGTGTGTGTGTGTGTGTGTGTGTGTGTGTGTGTGCATCTGTGTGTGCATGTACACAAATATATATAAATACAACTTGCTTGTTTTTGTTTGATATATGTATGTATATATGTATGTATGTATGTATGTATGTATATATATAGTTTCAGTTCTGACTACTCTGCATTAAACAGCCAAAAGGAAGCTCATCCTTGGGATAATTGAATTATCCTCCTCCCACAAGTTATTACTTGTCTGAAGTTCCTTGGGGTTTTTTTGTATATGTTTAATGAAATCTGAAAATTTGTTTTTTCTATTTGTAGGAACAAAAAGAAAATATCTAAGGAAAAAGTTAAGGTATTAAAAACCTATTAATTTTACTCAATATATTTTATGAAAGACAAAAATATATTACAAAATATATGGTAAATTCTAATTGCAAAATTATATAATGCTGGTTGTAATTGCACTTACCTGGAATTTCAGCATTTAAGAGACTGAAGCTGGAATACTGCCATGAAACCCTGACTAACCTGAACTAATTTACAAGTTTTAGTCAAGCCTAGGACACAGAAAAAGAACATATCTAAAAGAGAAAAAAAAAATCTACAGAATATTTTTTCTGTTTAAAGATGGTTTGTTTGAATGTTTAAGAAAATAGCTATTGTTAAAATATTTTGCAAACTGTTAATTTGTAGAAGTATGTTTTGTTCAGTTTTATATGAAAGGGTCAGTTACATAGCATCATTTATCTTATAGGTCCTACAGCCAGTAAAAGACACGTGTGATCTTAATGCCTTGACTCCAATAACCGAATTGTGCTCAGAAGAATGCGAGTTGCCAAGTGAGAACATGTTATTTTAATTAGACACTATAGAATAGCATTACATGAATATACCGTTGTTTATGTATTGCAATACTTATGCACCACTGCTTGGAACTGCCCACGGAAACTCTCTTGAGTTGTCACACTCTCCCTATCAGAATTAAAATAAAATGAAAAGTACTGTATTCTCCTGGCCAAAATGCTATGGCTGTAGACACTGCAACCTCTTTGATGAATCTTCTTATTCATTGGACCTTCACACTTATGTGGTTCTGTTACCATTATCTCTACAAAGACCAGCAGTGACTCTAGTACTATTTTCCTTGGTACCCAATCTCCTGAAGCCTCCATCACATGTCTAAATATTTTTACATATATCTAAAAAATATGAAATTTGATCATATCTGTTTCTTGTTTTAAAATGAGCTGTCAATTCTAAGTGCTAGAATGTGAAATATTTCACTCTTCTGTCTTTGTTGCAGGTACTAACTTATGTGTTTCTTTTTCTGATAGGGCCTTTAAGTTTTTATAGTTTGGTAAGGTATTATTTCACAGTGTGCAACTTTATTGCTTTTGACATATGTGTCTCACACATTTAACCTCTGCATCGTCATAGTGTTACACACATTATTGCAAAATTTCACGTACATTTTTCCTAGCCCTTTGTCAAAACCAACTACCTAGAGGTAAAAGTGTGCTTTACACATCTCATAGAGGAGATCCTAGAACAACCACTTTATTAAACCAGAACTCTCCCTAGCCACATTCTAAATATTTGTAGTTCAACACACAGGTGCATAGTCTCCATCCCATTACACAGCAACTTCTCTTTTCAACAGACAGAGACAATTATAGAAAATTGCATCCAATTAAAATGCAGAGTTACATACTTCAATCCCAAAGGATACTCCTACAGAACAATTGAGAAAGAGGGGGCAGAAATAGAGTAAGGACAAAAGAACCAGGACGTTTGCTGTGATATCATTTCTCCTAGTTATGTCAGAAGCTGCACAATAAAGCCTCACCAACGTTATTAAAGTGAGAATTTAATGAACTAATTTTTTAATTCTGGTGACCACAGACAGGCACAAACCACTCTGTAGTTGTTAATTCTTCAGAGACTACAGATGATTGCAGTAATGTTTTGTAATGTGGCCTGTACCAGATTCAGGCTACAACTATCAATTCAAATTTAGATTTCATTGTTGCCTATTTCCTTGCCTAATTTTATAATATCTGCCCAACATCCTGTAAATAATGAACTCTAGCTCTGCCACTATGTAAACATTGCTGTAGCTTCATATATACTTTCCTGGTTCTTTCCCCTCAGACTCGGGTATTATCTGGTATTCTTGTGGCCATTACTCTGCTAAATATTGAGAGACCCTTTGAAAACACCTGGAGTTATTTCTCTGTTAGTTGAATGTTCTTGGCCAAACTGCATTAGTTTTAAGGTATGATCAGCTTCATCACCTTAGCCTAGGAAGTCTTAGAAAATGTTTGGTGTGGTACCACTGGGCTATAAGAGTGTTGAGGAAATGCCCTGACAATGATTTCAACTGCAACCCCAACAGCTTTTTTGTTTCTGTCATGCTCAAGCTATGTAGCTCCAAAAAGCTACAAACTCATGATGGTTCTGCCCTATCCTCTGTGTGCTGAATCTGTAGACTGGGAGCACCTTGCTTGCTCTTTGTCATTTCCCTTTCTTTGCTTCTTGATCTTTGCACAATGATCCCATTTTATCCACCATAGATAGAAATTGAAATACTATTAGTAGCCTCAGAGAGCAGTGCTCAAGGTTGCACCCAGGGTTGGAAGAAAAACTCCACATCATAGCAAAAACTTGACTTAGGTTTTTTTTTAATCTGAGGAGTACAGAATAAATTCATACACATGCTGTTTGAGTCATGTTATTTGTTCTTCTATTTTGTGTCCTCTCATAGTCTTCTGATTTCTAATTCTATCTAGTTTTCCATTGTTTCAGTGTTCTGTTCCAATTCTTTCTAGCTCCAGTTCTTTATTATTTTGTTTACCTAGGTTAAATACATTTTAATAGGAGTCTTGGGGCAATAAGGGAAAAAAAGAAACTTACAAGAATTACATTTAGCCGGGTATTGGTGGCACACGCCTTTAAATCACTAGGGAGGCAGAGGCAGGCAGACAAATCTCTGTGAGTTCGAAGCCAGCTTGGTCTACAGAGCAAGTTCCATGACAGCATCCAAAACAATAAAAAGAAACTCTGTCTCAAAAAAAAAGAAAAAAAAGAATTACATCTTATTGGTCATAGTATATTCCTTGAGTAAATAATGACAGAGATGTTTACCATAGCAATGCAAGGTTTCCAGGTTTCTGGTATAAAACTGTGATCAGAGACCAGGTGCAAACTGACCAGTGAGATAAGGTGAGAGACATAGGATTTTATCAGAAAGAATTGCCAAGTGTAGAATTGGCATGTTTTATTTTTCCTTAGGTTGCTTTGTATTAATAACCTTGGTTAGGTATCTGCAACTCTGATCTCGTGCATATCTGTAAAGTTTTTAACTTATGATTCATTTACAGAAGCATTCAGTCTAGTTTGAACTTCCTTTGAGGTGAAAATGAGCAATGAGCTAATTGTGCATAGATTGAGTAAAAGGAACAAAGCAGGCTTTTCAGTGTCTTACAATCTTCATGATACAATAGACATAGTTATGAAGCATATCCTAATATATTCTCCCTCCCTCCCCACCTCTCTCATAGTTATGAAGCATATCCTAATATATTCTCCCTCCCAACATCTCTATCTATCTATCTATCTATCTATCTATCTATCTATCTATCTATCTATCTATCTCTCTGGTATTTCATGACAAAGATTCTTTGTAGCTTTGGAGCCTGTCCTAGAACTCTTGCTTCTGGAACTCACTCTATAGACCAAGATAGCCTTGAACTCATAGAGATCCACTAGCCTCTGCACCCCCCACGTGATGGGCTTAAAGGTATGTGCCACCACAGCCCAACTCTAGTATATTTTATATATATATATATATATATATATATATATATATATATATACACACACACACACACACACACACCCTACCTTATATGCCATCCTAGTAGCTGATGGAAGCAGAAGCAGACACCCACAGCTAAACATATATATCATATGAGATCATGCATACTGCAGTACAGGTGTTGAGGATACACTATAGCTGCTTTTGCACATGTAAAATTACAAACAAGAGCAACAATTTCCTGAATCAGTGGTCCCATAGGCCTTATCCTAAAGAGATTCTCCTCCATCAGAGAATCATTTCTCTGGTGGGTTGAGATCTGAACATTAGCTGTCACCTGCTGCAATTCCCATGGCCTCTGACAAATACATTGTTCAAACTTCAGCACATTCTCTAGATTGACAAGGATGCTTCTTACTTTCTATGTGGCTATTTCCTGTTATTTTTGTTTGTTTGTTTGTTCAGCCACCTATTTCTCTGGGAATAGTTCAGGTGCTCAGGACAAATTAATTCTGTTAATATGAAAATTCTGCATTATTGCTTTGCTTATTAGAAGTCATAATGGACATCCGCCTGTTCTATATATTAGACTTTAAGCTGACTAACATTAGAGATACAGTTCTTTCTCCTGTTTATTGTAAAATATGCTTATGTAGTTTATTTATATGTTTTCTCATCAATGCAGATCCTGGTAGCACCTTAAAAAGTACACCTGTCTTTGATTCATATAAAGAGTTAACAGAGCTTAAAGAAATCAATGTTCAAATACTCACAGAAAAAATTAAAGTGGAAAATGAATTATTTGAAGTCAAAGAAGAGAACTCACAATTACAGAAAAATCTTGTAAGAAAGAATGAAAGAATCTGTAAGCTGAGGTATAACACTATATAGCACACTGTAGAAACACTGACTCTGTTTATAATGAAGATTGGCAAAGAAATTTTGGCAATTTCTTAGTTTCCTTCTGATATTTTGAGAGAGAGGAATCTCCTGTTTTTGAAGGGAAAAAATTGTTAGAAATAATAAACCATTATATGATCTTTTACTTTTAATATATATGTTTTTTACATAAATTACAGAATGTATATGCTCTTTCTGATCACAGTGCAATGTATATATGGAAGCCTACCACAATGAAGCATTTTATTTAACAAGCAGGCTTTTATTGGACATTTTATTACGTGTTACAAATAATTCTATAAGAAACACAATTGAGATGAATAATTTCCTCTATTTCAAATGGTCTATAATGAATATATTTCCATGCAGAAATACGTTGAAATATTTAGAACCCTACGTTTTTTATCAATATTTTAAAATTTTTCTCAAGAAAAATTATGATCATTTATACAGATTATTAAATCATGTTTCACTGTTCTATTGCTCTGAGGAGACACTATAACCAAGGAAGAATTTAATTGGATGCTTAATTACCATTTCAAAGGATAAGTCCATTATCATCATGGCTTGGCAGGGAGCATGGTATCACACAGACAAATGTTAAAGTGATCTGTACATCCTGCTATGAGAGCAGAGAGAGAGAGGGGAGAGAGAGAGAGACAGAGAGAGACAGAGAGAGAGAGAGAGAGAGAGAGAGAGAGAGAGAGAGAGACTGAGCCATGCATGGGATTTTGAAACCTCAAAGTCTACCCCTGTGACACAACTATTCCAACAAGGACATCTCCTAACCATTCTAACACTCAAACAGTTCTACTTTGTTCAAATATGTTAGCCTATGGGAGCCACACTTATTCAAACCATCACAAGTGGTTATTTTAATCTGCTGACAAATTTAAAAGTTAATATGCATTTTGTGTGATGCTTTGTATCAAACCCAGGATCATACATGTAGTAGGCATCACTCTGCTTTTTACCCATACTCATGTAATGGTTTAATCACCAATTCATTTTGGCAATTAAGGAGAAAAGGCAGTAATTTAAGTCCTCTTATTTTAAAAGCATACTGATTATTGTTATAATTATGGTTACCATTAGTTTCTATTTTAATTACCCAAGTGAATTTTAAGTTGTTCATAAAATACATATAAACAACAAAATAAGTAGAAATTTTGGTAAAATATATACATATCTTATAGATATTAGATTATTTATCTTAATTTTAAAATTTAGAACATAGGATAGAAATGAAAATTGAGAATATATACTTTTAGAAGTGTTATAATTAACTGATGAGGGTCCAATTCATAAATTGAACATTTTGCTTTTTGAGAAAAGTAGTCCTAAAATTAGCTTATTTAACAACAGATCAATCATAAAAGAGCAAGAGGAGAAGAAAAGAAATATAATTTGTGCCTATAATAAGATTGTGGAGGAACTGAGAGAAAAAGAAGAGACGATTGAGAGAAGAGGAGAGCAATACGACAGACAAGTTACAGAAACACACAAACTTGAAATATGTCTGAAAACAAGAGATGTGGAGTTGAAGCAGGTAATCTGTACTAAAAATAGTGTTTTAAATATAGGCCACTAATATTTAATCTTGGCAAATCTATCACATTAGTATGCTATATAAACTTTTTGTCTTTTTTGTTAAGAAGTTGGCACTTTTTTATTTATAGAAATTAATTTTTCAATTTACAGACCCACCCCAGTTCTCTCTCCAACCTCTACTCCCGTTCCATCACCTCCCCCTTTCCCACCCTAATCCACTCCTCAGAGCAGGAAAGGCCTTCCTTGGGGAGTCCACATGATAAGCCCCTCCCCCAGTATCAAGGCTAATCAAGGTATTCCACCATAGGGAATGGGCTCTAATAAGCCAGGTTATGCCTCTGGGTTAGGTCCTGGTGCCACTGCCAAGCTCCCCTCCTCTCAACATTTCAAGTCACATAACTGTCATGAACACTCAGAGGGTCTAGTTCAGTCCCATGCAGGTTCCCCAGCTGTCAGTCCATAGTACATGAGATCCAGTATCTCAGGTTACCTCTCTCTGTCGTTTTCCCTATCATGGTCTTGACCTCCCTTGTTCATATGGTCTTTCCTCCCTCTACTCAACTGAATTCCAGGAAGTCAGCCCATTGCTTGACTGTGGGTCACTAACATCAGTTTCCATCAGTTACTGGATGTAGAGGTTCTATGATGATAATTATGTCAGTCATTAATCTGATTAAAGGGGAAGGCCTCCTCAGTCACTCTCTCCATTATGGCTATGAGATTAACCTGGGGTCATCCTTGTGGATTTCTGAGAATTTCTGCAACACCATGTTTCTCCCTAACCCCATAATGGCTCCCTTTATGTTTCCATCCTCCATCTCCCCCTTCTAACCTTCCTCCCAGTTTACCCAGGTGATATCAATTATTTCCCCTTTTGGGGTTCTCCATACATATCCCTCTTAGGGCCATTTTACCTAGCTTCTCTAGGGTTGTGGATTGTAGTCTTGTTATCCTTTGCTTTATATCTAATATTCATTTATGAATGAATGCATACCATGTTTGTCTTTCTGTGTCTGGGCTAGCTCACTCAGGATGTTTTTTTCTAGTTCCATCCACTTGTCTACAAGTTTCAAAGTGTCATTGTTTTTTACTGCTGAGTAATATTCCATTGTGGAAATGTACCACAGTTATTTTTTTATCATTTCTTGGGTTGAGGGGCATCTAGAAATTTTCTTGGCCCTGGCTATTATAAATAATGTTGCTATGTACATAGCTGAGCAAATGTTCTTGTGGTATGATGTGTGTTCTTTGGATATATGCCCAAGAGTGGTATTTCTGGGTCTTGGGGTAGATTCCCAATTTTAAAAACCACCATAGTGATTACCAAAGTGGCTGTAAAAGTTTGTACTCCCACCAACAGTGGATGAGTGTTCCCTTAAGCTGTCATTGGTGTTTGTTATCTTAGCCATTATGACAAGTATAAGAATCATTTTGAATTGTGTTTCCCTGATAACTCAGGATGTTGAGTAATTTCTCATATGCCTCTCAGCCATTTGCAGCTCTTTTGTCAAGAATTCTATGTTTAGATCTGTACCCTACTTTTAATTGGAATATTTGGTATTTTTGTGTCTAGTTTCATAAGTTCTTTATATATTTTGGAGATCAGCTCTCTATCAGATGTGGTGTTTGTGATGATCTTTTGATCTTTATACATTCTATAGCCTGCTTTTTTTGTTTGTTTTGTTTTTGTGTTTTTTATTTGTTTTTTATTGTATCCTTTGCCTTACAGAAGCTTTTCAGTTTCAGTAAGTCCCATTTATTGATTGTTGTTCTCAGAGTCTATGCTCTGGTATTATATTTAGGACGTAGTGTCCTGTACAAATGTGTTCAAGGGTACTTCTCACTTTTCTATGAGGTAGAGTGTACCTGGATTTATGTTGAGGTCTTTGGTCCATTTGGCCTTGAGTTTTGTGCATGGTGATGAATATCAATCTATTTGCATTCTTCTACATGTTGACAGAACCATTTGTTGAAAATACTTTCTTTTTTCCATTGTATGGTTTTGGCTTCTTTGTCAAAAATCAGGTGTTCAAATGTGTGTGGATTAGTATCAGGTTCTTCAAGTTGATTCCATTGATTCACGTGTCTGTTTTTATATTTGTCTTACTATAATTTTATAGTAGAGCTTGAAGTCAAGAATAGTGATGCCTCTGGAAGTCACATAATTGAACAGAATTGTTTTGGCTATCCTGAAATATTTTGTGTTTCTTTATGAAGTTGAGTGATTTTCAACATCTTTGAAGAATTGTGTTGGAAAATGCATTGATCTGTAGATTGATAAGATTGCTATTTTTACTATGTTAAACCTACCTAACCAAGGGCATGAAGATCTTTCCATTTTCTGATATCTTCTTTAATTTCTTTCTTCAAAATACTTGTTATACAGGACTTTCATTTGATTGGCTACAGTTACTCCAAGATATTTTGTGTTAACCCCAAGATATTTTGTGTTATTTGTGACTATTGTAAAGGGTGATATTTCTCTGATTTTTTTCTTTACTCCCATTTATCATTTGTATATAGGATACCTACTGATTTCTTAAATTAATTTTGTAAACTGCCACATTACTGAAGGTGTTTTTCAGCTGTAGGAATTCCCTAGTAGAATTTTTTCTGGTCACTTATGTGTACTGTCATATCATCTGCCAATAGATAATATTTGACTTCTTTCCTTCCAATTTGTATCCCCCTTGATCTCCTTTTGTTGTTTATTGCTCTAGATGAAACTTCAAGCACTATATTGACTTGATATGGAGAGTGGGCAGCCTTGTCTTGTTTCTGATTTCAATGGTTAACTGAGTTTCTATTTATTTTATGTTGGCATGCTGTATGTTACCTTTATTATGTTTATGTGTGTTCCTTGTATCCCTAATATCTCCAAGACCTTTATCATGAAGGGGTGTTGGATTGTGTCTAAAGCTGTTTCAGCACCTAATGAGATGATCATATTTTTTTTCTTTCAGTTTATTTATATCATTGATTACATTGACAGATTTTCATATGTTGCACCATCCCTGCATTTCTTGGATGAAGCATACTTTATCATGGTGAATGATATTTTTGATGTGTTTCTGGATCTGATTTGTCAATATTTCATAAGTATATTTGTGTCAATGTCCGTGACAGATATTGGTCCATAATTCTGTTTGTGTGTTTGTGTGGTTTGAGTTTCAGGGTATCTGTACCCACATAAAAACAGTTTGACAAAGTTCTTTATGTTTCTATTGTATGAAACAACTTCAGGAGTATCGATATTAGCTCTTTATTGAAATTCAGGTAGAATTCTGCTCTAACACCTTCTGGCCCTGGGTGGGATACTTTTGATGACTGCTTCTATTTCCTTGGGGATTATAGGTCTATTGAAATTGTTTACCTGGTCTTCATTTAATTTTGGTATGTGGTACCTATCCAAGAAATTGTCCATTTTTAAACCTTTTCCTATTTTATGAAGTAAACGGTGGAGCTACTTAGCATTCCCTGTGGCAAACCACCCATTGTTATCTCTTGATGAGCTGAGAATTATTGTAATTAGGTACCATGAAGTCAAATTTTTCTTTATCTTTTTCTTGTATAGGTAGAGAAGAAGCAATGTTTTAAATCAATAACTATTATGGGCTATTATTTAGGTATCAAAGGAGGCAAGGACATTCCAGGCTATAGAGAGCCCATTGGCTGGATTACTTTATTGATGGCCTCAGGTCTATAATCATACCCCATTTTCCACATTTCTTTCTTTTCTTTTTTTTTAATTTTTTTATTTTATATGTCGATCCTGGTTCCTTCTCCCTTCCTCCCTCCCTTCCTTCTTCCCTCTTAACCTCTTACCCTCTTACACTCTCTCACCCCTTCACATGCACCCTGACCACCCACCCCTCCCATTCCACACCCACACTACACATGTAGGTCTATGCCATCAAAGTGGGGTCATGTAAATCTGACAAGTCATTTGAAGTAGGGACTAGGACTTCTCTCCTGTCTCTAGGTTAAGTGAGTATACCTCCATGGGGGATGTGCCCGCAAGGCACATTTGTGCACCAGAAATATATCCTGTTTCCACTGTCAGAGGTCCTTTAGAAAGTTGAGTCCTTCTAGCCAAGACCCATACTCAGGGGGTCTGAGTCAATCCCATGCTGGATTCCCAGCTATCAGTCTGGTGGCCCGTTAGCTCCTCTTTGTTCAGGTCAGCTGTGTCTATGTGTTTCTGCAACCTGCTCTTGTCCTCTCTCTCTGCATCTGGAGTCTAATTCGAATCAGTGTTTAATTATGGGTGGTCACTTCTGTTTCCAAGAGGTACTAGATGAGGGCTCCATGACGGTGGATAAATTAGTTGTTGATCTCATTATCAAGGAAGGACATTTATGGTAGCCTTTCCACTGTTGCTCAAACTGTTAGTTGGCGTCAGTCTTGTAAGTCTCTAGACCTTCCTTTATGTTCAGTTTTCTCTTCAAACCAATAATGTCTCCCTCTTTTATGGTCTCTCTCTCTCTCTTCTGTCTTCTATTCCTACTATGACTCAATCTTCCTAGTCACACGTGCTTTCTTCTCCTCCCCTTCTGTTTCTCCTATTTCCCTGTCCATTCCTTGCCCGCCCCATTTCCCATGTGCTCTGTGGGACTTGTCCTTTTCTGCTTCTGTGAGGGACCTTATATGAATCTCCTAGAATATACCTTGTATCCTAATTGCTCTGGCGGTGTGAATTATAGGCTAGTGATCCTTTGTTCTATGTCTAAAATCCATATATGAGTGAATACATACTATGTTCCTCTTTTTGTGACTGGGTTACCTCATTCAGTATGGTTTCTTCAAGTTTCTTCCATTTGCCTGAAAATTTCAAGATTCCATTTTTTTTGTGTTTTTGTTTTTGTTTTTTTTTGTTTTTTTTTTTTTTTTTTTGTAGAGTAGTATTCCATTGTGTAGATGTGCCACATCTTCTTTATCCATTCTTCAGTTGAGGGGCATCTAGGTTGCTTCCAGGTTCTTGCTATTACAAATAATGCTGCTATGAACATAATTGATCACATGTCTTTGTTGCATGGATGTGAATCCTTTGGGTATATACCTAAGAGGGGGATTGCCGGGTGGTAAACTAATTTCCATTTTCCTGAGGAACCGCCATAGTGATCTCCAAAATGGCTGTACGAGTTTGTACTCCCACCAGCAGTGGAGGGGTGTTCTCCATTCTCCACAACCTCTCCAGCATAAGTTGTCATTGGTGTTTCTAATTTTAGCCATTCTGGCAGGAGTAAGATGGTATCTCAAAGTTGTTTTGATTTGCTGCCCCCTCTCTCCATATCCCTTCAATGTTATACTTGAAGTTCTACATAAAGCAATAAGACAACAAAAGGAGATCATGGGGATCCAAATTGGAAAAGAAGAAGTCAAACTTTCTCTATTTGCAGTTGATATGGTAGCTTACATAAGCAACACCAAAAACTCTACCAGAGGACTCCTAAAGCTGATAAACACCTTCAGCAAACTAGCAGGATACAAGATAAACTCAAAAAATCAGTAGCCCTACTTTATTTAGATGACAAAGTGTCTGAGAAAGAAATCAGAGAAGCATCACCCTTTAAAATATCCACAAACAACATAAAATAACTTGGGGGAATGCTTAACAAACAAGTGAAAGATCTATATAATAAGAAGTTTGTGACTTTAAAGAAAGCAATTAAAGATACTAGAAAATGGAAAGATATCCCATGCTCTTGGATAGGTAGGATAAAAATACTAAAAATGACAATCTTTCCAAAAGCAATCTATAGATGCAATGCAATCCCCATTAAAATCCCACCACAATTTTTCACTGACCTTGAAAAGATAATAACCAATTTTATATGGAAAAATGAAAGACCCAGGATAGCCAAAACAATCCTATGCAATAAAAGAACTTCAGGAGGCATCACCATCCCTAACTTTAAGCTCTACTACAAAGCTATAGTTCTGAAAACAGCCTGATATTGGCACAAAAATGGACAGGTAGACCAATGGAATCAAATTGAAAATCCTGATATTAACCCACACACATACGAACACCTGATTTTTGACAAAATAGCTAAAAGTATACTATGGGGGGAGGAAAGCATCTTCAACAAATGGTGCTGGCACAATTAGATGATGGTGTGTAGAAGACTGCAGATAGGCATATGGCTATCACCACGCACAATACTCAAGTCCATATGGATCAGCTACAGAAAGTAAACTAGAGAAATGTTCAATATTTAATTTTACCCACTGAATATATAAATCCTGACAGAAATGCTTGAGAATGTCATTTGAATGCTTTCTCCTTTAACTCCCTAGCTTTACTCACTAGTACAAATTTTTAGTTCTTTTTATAGCTTTGTTTTATTTGGTGTACCACCAGATAGTATCTGGCAGCAGGAAAGCCTTCTGATCCCATTCCCTTAAGAATAGTTGTTAACAAACTAATGCAAGAGAAATTTTGTTAACTAGAGGAGTGAAACAAGCCTTGTTTAAATTGCTGTGATGGCAGGGCCAACTGGTCTCATCTCTGCAAGTATAGTATGTGTAGCCCATTTTTGACCATATCATTGTTATTTGACATATGATTGTTTTACTTAGGACTGAACTCAAATTTTATTTTATTATAAGTTACAATATTTTATCTAAATTTGCCTTTTAAATGTATTGTCATATAATAGGTACTTGGTGTATGGTTTCTGAATGAAGGAATGGAAACCAGTTGAAATTTATCAACAACATTATTTCCTTTTATTTTATTTTTACTTTCATTGAAAATAGATTATTATTTCACATAATTTATCATGATTACATTATTTTTCTTTATCTGCTTTGATTTTCTTATTTTGTTGCCTTTCTTGTGTTTTTTCCTTGAGGGAAGGAGGGACAGAGGGGAGAGAGAAGGAGAGAGAGACAGAAAAATAAGTTGGATAAATGGGATGGGACAAAACAGATTATGATTGAAATATATTGTATAAAAAGATTATTCAGAATGATATAAATAAAATAAAATAGAGACTAGAATAAAATACACAATGGACTTGTAAATAAATAAAATATTGACATTTTTTATGTAAAATGTCTAGAGAAACTTTCCTATGGGATTTACCAACCTCTGAGGATCATGCCACCTACACGCTAGTTAATAAATTAGATAATAGGAGGGTACCTTTTACATTTCACTTATATGATAATGACTCACAAGAAGCATGTAGTTATTCATGGAATTATTGTGTTTTATAGATGATACCTAGATCCCTAAGTTGTGATACATGTATTATAAAAAAAAAGGATGAAGTTGCCATTGATTAGTGGAATTAGTGAAAGTCTCATAAAGAACTGGAATTGTATCCTTTGTTACAATTCTAATGGTATGAAGGATGAACCAGTTTACTTGAAGAATTAACTGGTGCGCTGCTTTCTTAATAGGCCTAATTGAATTGTGAAAAAAATGTGATTAATGATATTAGTGCTACATCAAAGATATGTTACATCATACATACATATCATTGTGCCACATGAGACTAAAACATGTGAACTGCATACTAAACCTTCCCAATTTTGGAGGACAGTAAATATTGTTATCATTTGGATTTTATTGATTAAAAATAACTGAGACATAGGAACTTAACTTGTTTCAAAATAAACATTTTAAAGATATTAGAGCTGGTATTAAGGCACACATTCACAATGAGGCATCTGTGTTGGAACCACCTCAAACACTTGCTCATACCCTTCAATAAAATATCAGATTATAACTAGATATCTCATGTCAGGCATTAGGAAGAGAGTACAGTTAGATATTTTTACAAGGCAAGCATAAAGACTTATGTTCAGTTTTGAACCCATTAAAACTAGGCATGATGGTACATGCTTGGGATCACAGCTCTGGGAAGGCAGAAATTAATGGCTCTTTTAGGGTTCACCAGCAGAACAGCCTATCCTATTTATTGAGTTCCTTACTTGGCATGAAAAAAGAAAAAAGCCAACAACCCTCAAAGAACACTTCAGATTATCTTCAGATACAACTGTCATCTTGTATACACACACACACACACACACACAGAGAGAGAGAGAGAGAGAGAGAGAGAGAGAGAGACATCATCATGCATACGCAATGTTATGTCAATGTTTCCCATTGCTAGCATAGCTTTGATCATATATGTATATAGAAACTTTTTAAATTAAAATGACTCTGTAGCCCTTGTAAATCAAAATCACAAAAGTATAAGGGTCTTTCCACTTCATTTTTGATATCTTCAATATATGATAAAACAAAATTGAAATAGAAATGTAATGCATTTCAGTCCCATAGCAGCATCAGTTCTTTTTCTTTTCTCTCTTTTTTTGTATCAAAGTATTAATAAAATTATTTTTTATGTTTCATTTAGTTACAAAAAGAAAAAGAACATGCACAGAAGATGGAAGATCATCTCCAAGTGTAAACTTTAAATCAGGATGTATTTATATAGCAAATAAGTAATATGAGAATTATCCAAGTATGGTTAATGTAAATGCCCTCAAAAATTGTACATTTTCTGAAATTCACAACACAGAGTTTGGGAAGTATATCATGGCTTTTTGTGAATGAGGGATAAAATTTCTGAAGCATTTCCATCCAAAAAAATATATAATTTTTCATGTAGCTACAACTTGTTCATTCATTTATAAAAGGTCAAAAATGACACAGTATTTACATCACTGACATTCAAGATATGTCTTTTATAAAGTCTCTGTGACATATTATATACATATATTATATGTTGGGGCATGTGTTGTGTGTGTGTGTGTGTGTGTTTAGAAAGGGGGCCGTGAAAGAGTGTAGGGAATTCTAATGAGAAGTGAGAGGGGAGTTAACAAAAGATTACTTTGGAATATTTGAGACATGAAAACAAGAGTCGAAAGGGGGAAGAAGAATTCAGGAAATAGGGGGAGGGGGTAGAAGATGGATAGATAGGTTTTGAGTGGCAAATAAGAACAAAGTATAATAATACACATCTGTGAAAATGTCACAATGAAACATAACACATGACAACTCAATTTTAAAACTAAATATAATTAAGCATTACAATTGCTATGTGAGAAAAATTATTTTAAAATATGGCCATTAGGTTGGAACTCGAGAATACCTCATTGATCGCTACAGTGAAAAAACAAAAGGAGGAAATAGAACATCTGCAAGGACATCTGCAAGACACACACAAAGACCTGGCACAGGGTTCCAACTTGGTGAGTCAGTTTCATGTGAATCCCCCTTCTGGCAATGAAAAGAAACACTTTAGGAAACATATAAAATGTCTCATTAAAGTATATTTATAGTTTAATGATTTGTTGCATGTATGTGGTGTTTTAACCAAGTCTACCTCTTAATTGCTATACTTTAATTCTTTTCTCATTACTTTCATCACTTTCCCTCTTAACTTTATGTGCCCATTTTGGATTATTTTCAATGTTGTGTTTCAGTTTACTGATGCCAGTATATGCATGGGTGTAAGACCATCTACTGGAGCAAGGCTAGTCTCTTAGGTTCACTTCCATGTAGAAGGCACCTCTCCATCTCTCAAAAGCCACCAATATCTCTTTGAATTATCTAAATCCATGGGAAGGAATGGTTCATGTTGAATAGCATAGCTTTGGGATGGAGCACGTTCCTAGTAAAGTGCCCAGATGTGGGTTCAGTTCCCATTACCACATTAAATGAGTGTGTTTTTACAATTCAGAATTAATGCTGCTTACATTGGTAATATTTTAAACAGAAACATATTTTTCAAGTTTAAAAATTATTGTCAGAATCATCTTCTCAACCTTGAAGCAATCAAATGTCAAAAGCAAAAGAATCAAATATGCTAGAATTATTTAAGTTATATTTTTGCTAAACAAAAATTTCAATTTGTTATAGGCACAAGCAGCTGTTCAGGAAAGCAAGAACCTCTGTAAGAATCACACTTCAGTAATACCTGAGATGGAAAACACAATTAAGAGTCTGAAGTCTGAAGTTTCCAGTGTTAAAACTTCCAAAGAGTCAAGCAAAAGAGAACTGGAAAAGTACAGGCAATATTATCTGGAAGAACTAAGAAATAAGAACTTCTTATTGTATGAATTAAACAGGCAAGTGAAAGAAAATGTCGCCAAATATTCTATCAGCTCATTGGTTAATTACTGAATCATAAATTTTAATAGCACTTTACCCTGAGACTAATGGGATGGGAAACTGACCTGGACAATATGTTTCTGGAAAGTTATGTCAGAAGGTGGTCTTGCAGATAAAATGTTATTCCGGGCACGTTTTTATTACCTTCCCTCTTTTGGTTATACTTGGCTTTTTCCTCATTAAAATTCTCATATTGTTAAGCCAGGCATCAAGACTTTCAGCCACAGATTTCTAAAATTTTCTAATTAGACACAGCCATGTAGGTATGAAATTGCCCATCACTATATACAAAAACGCATAGACATAACAGAGTCACTAGATTGTGTTAAGTCCTGCCTGGCTTTGATCTTGAAATCTGACAAGGGCAGCTAGGGAATAAAGAAAGAACAGCACATGGGAAGATGGACAGAAAAGCTGGCATCAGATGGAGCATATGCACTCTGATGGACCAGCAGCTACTACTACCATGTTGCTGAACCTTTGTGTGTTAGTATGTACAGCATGGGGTGGGGGTGGGTGTTGTCTACTCTCTGTAGGCCTGTATTCTCAAGTTGTAACAGACAGGAAATGAGGAAGCCATGGTTGCTACCCTTTGAACACATGTGTCACACTTTCCAGTTCAGAAAACTTTTCCAATCCCCTGAGACGGTTTTGTCACTTGCATGGGACTGAGACATTGGAGTCCTTGTCAAGGCTGTACCCATTTCAATGGTACACATCCTGTCCAGACTTCACTCACTCAGACCTTTCTTCCTCTACTTCCCATATATGTACATAATGTATATTATGTACATTTATGTTAATATGTATAACAATAATGATCTAGAAGAGGTAATTAATTAGAGAAAGCCTTAGGGGAAAACATGGAAGACATTGGGGGGGAGAACAGAGAAGGGGGAAGTGATGTAATAAAATTTTAACTTAATCAGGAGACAGTGTTTCAAGATAGGGTATCACTATGTGGCTGTCCTTGAACTCATTGTGTTGACCAGGTTGTCCTCTATCAGCCTGCCTTTGCCTCCCAAGTGCTAGTGTTAAAGGCATGTACCAACATGCCTGACCATTATGTTTTATTTTAAATATCATAATTGAAAAAAAAATTTTTTGGCTGTTTGAGGATGACTACAACTGAAATCCCAGGGGGAATGTGGGGAGAGGTGCTTCTAATTCTATTGAAATCTGGCAAATTAACTTTCCTCCACTGTTATCATGTCTTGTGTGACAAAATTGCATTATAGAATATTCACATGCCTTGTACTTAGAATAGAGAAGAATACAATATAAAAGATGATAACACAAATCACTACATTGTCAAAGACAATTCCTTTCTCAGGAGGAGGACATGTGTACACAGCAAGAAGGGATAGGTCCCATATCTGTTTCTGGGGTAATTTTGAAATGTCCAAATGCACTCAAAATTCCTTTTGTTTTATTTTGAACATCAACTCAAGCCAGTTCCTTGCTTCATTTATTGTGTGATATGTGTCACAGATTTTGTCAGCTTGACACAAACATAAACATACCAACACACTTTGAAAAAGGAAAGCTCATTTGAGAAGTTGCTTCTGTCAGATTTGGCCTATGGGCACATGTGTGGAATATTTTCTTGATTAGCGATTAATATGGAAGACCCCATTCCAATGCAGGTGGTGCCATCCCTGAGCAGGTAGGCCTGAACTGCACAAAAGAGGTAGCTAAGCAAAGCATGGAAACCTAACCAGCAAGCAGAATTTCTCAATTTCTCTATGGTTTCTGCTAGGAGATTTTACCTTGCCTTTTGCTTGGGTTCTCATGATGATGGACTGTGACCCATGAACCAAATAAACTCATCTCCAAGATGATGTTTTCGTTCAGTGTTTTATTACAGCTACAGAAAGTAAACTAGAGCAATGTTCAATATTTAATTTTAGCCACTGAATATCCAAATCCTGACAGAAATGTTTGAGAATGTCATTTGGATGTTTTCTCCTTTAACTCCCTAACTTTACTCACTAGTAAAAACTTTTACTGCTTTTTATAGCTTTGTTTTATTAAGTGTTTATTAAGTATGTTTATGAAAAGTATAATGTGATGTTTTACTAAATGGACATATAGTTAATTTAGTTGTAAATCATGAATGTTAATATATTCAACATATCACATACTTTTATTTTCAATTCAAGTATTTCCTAATCTGACCTCAATAATTATATTATTCATCTCAGCACTAGCTTACCAGTAAAGTAGTCATACATTGCTGCTTTCTCTTATATAGTTTCCTTTTTGTTTTAGTTTGGAATTTCTCTCAAATGTATATATACCCTGCTTTCTGCATTTGTGTGTGGGTTATTTGCTTGTGTATGGGCATATGGACATGTATTTATGAGTGCTCATGCATGTGGAGGTGAGACTTTGATGTTGGAAGTCTTCAGTCACTTTCTTTCTTACATTTTGAGCATGGTTTCCCACTCGATATGAAAACTGACTAATTTGGTTGTTCTGCTAGTCAGCATTATTTAGGAAGGCCCTCTATCTGCTTTCAAAGCACTGGGCCATACACACATGTGGTATTTCTATGGTTTGGGGGATATGAATGCTGGTCCTATGATGCCATAACAGTGCTACAATTACTTTACCTGCTGAGCCATCTTTTTAGACCCATAGTCTAAGTCTCATTTTAGAGTAATTCTCAGAACATAATTACATTCAGTAGGTTTGAGCTGACATAGTTTTCAATGTTAAGATACTCTTCAACACATAATGTATTACTGTAGTAGAATTTTTATTGAAAGTCATTTCAGAGTATCTCTTGGTATTCACAGGACTAGTGACAGTCAAGAAGAGTCCCATGCAGAACTTCACATGAAATTTGAGCAAAACATTTCTGCATCAAATACAGTGAATACAAGGCTGGTCCATAAGTGCTCTTGTGTGGGAAAAACTCAACAATTGGAAAACGAAGATGGGGAAAACATGGGGGAGCCTTCCTCAAGACCAGAATCTTCTCATGCCTGTGTGGAACACTACCCATGGATGGTGTGTTTGAGGGTCATTTTTCTTTGAAGTTTATATTTCTGATATATTTCTTGTTTTCAATTTAATATGCAATTAAGGATTTTTTATTTGATTTATGTGTATAAAGATAAGGTCCTAATAATATGTGTTATTAAGAGAAAAGGTAAAAATTTCATTTGGGGGAGATTTTATTTTTCCCTTTTCTTAAATATAGATTCTTTTCTCATGCAATATAATCTGAAGGTAGATTCCCCTCCCTCCCCTCACCCTGCAGTTCCTCCCTCATGCATGTGGCTGCCCCAGACCCTCTGCATATATGTTACCACTTTCTGTTTAGCACTTTTATGGGACTCTAGAATGGTAAATGAGTGGGTATCTTATTCATGTGCCTTTTCTTGGGACTTTTTAAATTTTTTTCTGTTGATTTGTCTTGTCCAACTTTGACATCATGATTTTATCGTATTTATTTTATTTGTGTTTGATTGATATCGCCTAGAAGCTTGTTCTTTCTATTGAAAGAAAAAAAGTGAGTGGATCCAGATGGGAGTTTTTGCCATTTCAAAGGTGTCCCTCAAACTCTTAATTTCAAGGGATACACATTTAGTTTTATTGAATGAATATGACTAAACACTAAACAGTTGCATTTTTACATCCTATCAAAAGCCGTACTTACATGACATGTTAGTGTGTAAATGTAGCTACAGACATACTTGGACACACTGAGGAAAAGTTTCTGTGCCACTGTGTCTCTGCTATACTTGACAGGACTTTAAGGGTTCTACAGATCCCCAAGTTTGCTACACTAATTCATAAGTGAGTGATTGAGATTTAAACTCTTATTTTGAGGAAATCTGAAAGGAACACTTACCATGAATTAGATAAACTTATAAAACAAACAAAAATATGCTAACTTTTGGCTGTATTTAAAATGTTCCATTAACTTAAAAAAAGTTACTGTCTCCTTAATTGTCATTTAACTTATATCATTTTAAGTATGTTTATTGCTACAGTGATTATTGCAGTTATAATAGCACCTACCACAGGCATCTCTGGAGATGTATGTGAAGGCACACATTTTCTCCTCATAAGTGGACACTAATGAACAACTTCCTATTTAACTTTGTGACTGAATTCATAATAAGCTATCTTTTCCATATTATTTACAGAGAGTAAGGAAGCAAGGGTTAAGGACAATTGAAACAGAATAAACTAATCATTTATATTTTCACCCAGGGTAAATTACATGAATTATTCATTTGAGTAAAGCTTAAACACATACTTATATCCTTGTTAATTAAGTACACATATCTATGTACAATGGCTCATAGCTTTCTTGGTATTTATAGCTCAGTTTCAAATAGCAAACTTTAGGTTGCTTAGGAAGTATTGTAGTTAAACAACTTGCAAAGGGAAATACAAAGTGACTGATTAAATATATAAACTATCACATACTAAATGAGTGAATTTAAAATCACTCTGTTAGCCTACTTTTCCATTTTTTCCTCAAAGAAAAGAAGTATCAGACTCCAAACACTACAGAATCATGAAGTAGAACCATTCCAAACAAAAGGAAAATAGTTGGATGTGATTATTCTATGAATTGTTAAGCACAGCTTAAGTAAAAAATATCCTCCTCTATTCTAACTTGAAAAATCAAAGTGCACATTACTTTAAGGAGCATAATACTTGCTTTTATAAATGGTGGTGAACTATGAACTAAGCATTAATGCTTTCACCTAGATCAGTAGTTCTCAACCTCCCTAACAATACAACCCTTTAATACAGTTCCTTCTGTTGTGGTGACCCCCTCCCCCCCAAGCTAGATTATTTCATTGCTATGCATAACTGTATTTTGCTAATGTTGTAAATCATAATGTAAATATTTTTGGAAACAGATTTGTCAAAGGGATCGTGACCCACAGGATGAGGATACTTAGAGTATTTTAGACTCTAAAGTATTTATGAAGTCAGACAAAAAAAAACCTGCTTAATGCCAAGTATTAACAGATAACTGGAAAAACACTTGTAATTAATTATACTAAACATATGAGTTAAAAGTTACCTGTGGTTTCCATGTGAGATATGTGTTCACCAATCATGGTAAACTTCATAGGAAATATTAACTTTGCCTGAATACTTTCATTTAAAGCATATTACCAAACTCTTGCAGTTTTATCAAATAAATGTTAGCAACTTAACAAAATTATAGACATATATCAATTTGAAAGATATGGAGGAAAGTAATAAATCTTGTGTTCTTTCATTGTTTCCATCAAGTTTGTAATATTAAGACCCTTGTAACCACATTCTTCATAAACTCATGAGTACAAATATTTAAAGAAAGATGAGTGAAACTCTAGGATTTTAAAACTATATTCTATGTTTTAATAGTCTGAAAATGATATGAGAGAGATAAGCAAAGGACTCAGTGACTTAAAACAATCCATGCAACTTAGTTTGGAGACTCAGAAGAAACAAAATAGTGATGTAGGCGAACTAGCTGGGTAAGATCCTTGTCTTTCAGATGATTTCAGTGATTTAACTGTAATCTTAGTAATGACTAAATAGAATTAACTTTATTCTTTGTTATTAATATTTAAGTAACAGTATTTTAAGAGACAATGTTTTGCAATATTAAGCCAACCTGACTTCAAATTGTGATCCCCTTGTCTCAGCCTTCTAAGCACTGAATAAATAACAATGAATAACATTGTAATAAAAGTATTCTGTGTATCCTCCAAGGATTTTGACAGAGAATAGAGTATTACCTTTGGCACGTAGCTTCAACTTCATTTGCCACAAATGTTTATTTCTCATATGATTTTCACTCCTTCATTCTTTTTGTATTTCATTGTCTTGAGAACTAAAAAAAGTTTTATACATTAAACTCTATCACTTCTAACAATATCATAATTATCTGGCTCTTCTTTATTTCCTTTCTGCATCCTTACTTTTATAATGTATATAATATAAGATGGAATGAACACATTAGTGTCGGCATTCTCCAAATGCACAAAATTCATTTTATTAAATATTTGTATATGTCTGTGTAAAGATATTTTGAGAAAAATATTGAATTACTTAAAACAATGGCTTTGGTTAGTTATAGAATGGTTCAGATACTTGTATAAATCTGTATTGTTGCCTGATGAGAATTAGTTTCAGAATCCCTTGAATACTCCAAAAACCTACACATGTCCCTAATAAACAATGATATGGTCTAGACAAATGTATTTTCTAGGAACCATAAGTGATTGTTTTTAATCTTGAGATATTATGATACTATTTGTAAATCTTATAATTTTTATTTTTTCTTCTCATATTTAAAATTATTTTTTGAAATTAAAATATAGCTATAGTGGGAGTGCAAACTTATACAGCCATTTTGGATATCAGTATGGTGGTTCCTCAGGAAAATGGGAGTTAGGTTACAACAGGACAAGGCAATCCCCCTCTTACGCATATACCCAAATGATCCACATCTATGCAACAACGACATGTGTTCAACTATGTCATAGCAGCATTATTTGTAATAGCAAGAACCTGGAAGCAACCTAGATACCCCTCAACTGAAGACTGGATAAAAAAGATGTGGCACATCTACACAGGGGAATACTACTCTGCAGAAAAAAAAATGGAATCTTGAAATTCTCAGGCAAGTGGATGGCACTTGAAGAAACCATACTGAATGAGGTAACCCAGTCAAAAAAGAGGAACATGGTATGTATTCACTCATATATGAAGCACAAGCCTATAATTCACACCACCAGAGAAACTAGGATGTATTCTAATACATTCATATAAGGTCCCTCACAGAAGGAGGAAGGGAAAAGTCCTTCAGAGCACATGGGAAGTGGGACGGTAGTGAATGGAGAGAGAACAAGGAGAAAGAGAAGAGGGGAGAAGAAAGCATATGCGACTAGGAAGAGTGAGTCGCGGGAGGAATAGAAGACAGAAGAAAGAGAGAGACAGAGAGAGAGAGAACATAAAAGAGGGAGCCATAATTGGTTTGAAGAGAAAACTGAACCCACAGAAAGGTCTAGAGACCTAAAAGACTGACCCCAACTAACGAGCAACTGTGGAAAGGCTACCATAAATGTCCTTTCCTGATAGTGAGATCAACAACTATTTTATCCACCATCATGGAGTCTTCATCTAGTACCTGTTGTAAACAGAAGCAAACACCCACAACTAAACACTGAGTCGAACTAGAATCCAGATGTAGGGAGTGAGGACAAGACCAGGTTGCAGAAACTCATAGAGACAGCTGACCTGAACAAAGAGGAGCTAATGGGGCCCCCCCAGACTTGATAGCTGGCAATCCAGTATGGAACTGACTCAGATTCCCTGAATATGGGTCTCAGCTAGAAGGACTGAGCAGTCTAAAGGACCTCAGACAGTGGAACCAGATTGTATTCCTGGTGCACAAAAGGAACTTGCAGACACATCCCCCATGGAGGGATACTCCTTTAACCTAGACACAGGAGAGAAGTCCTAGCCCCTACTTCAAATGACTTGACAGATTTACATGATCCCACCTGGATAGCATAGCCCTATATGTGGAATGGGTTGGGGCTGATGGTAGGGGAGGGTGGTCAGGGTGCATGTGAGGGAAGAGAGAGGAGAGGAAGGGAGGGAAGGAGGGAGGACAGGAAAGGGAAGTGGATTCTACATGTAAAATAAAAATAATAATAATTAAATAAAAAATAATAATTTTTCTCTACATCTTTCCCCTCTCTAAATACCTTTCATGTAGCAATAGCAACACCTTCCATGTTTTCTCAAATTAATAGCTTGTTTTTCTATTATTATTATTATTTGTGTGTGTTTGTGTGTGTGTACTACTCAATCCTGTTTCTTTTTTGCATTTCAACTAGTTTTAATATATGAGAATTACATTTATTCAATCATATTTACTCCTAGAGTATAATTTATAAATGTGACTATTAGGATATTTTAAGATTTTATTTTCCTAGTTCAACTATATATTTGACTTTGTGTACTAAAATCTATTTGATCATTAAATTTGTCCTGTTTTATAACGTAACGTTTTAAAACAAGAGTGCCATGATTAAGTTATTTTCAATAATGCTATAGTAATTTCATTATATTTTCCATTGTTTTCATCACCCTCAATTTTAATTAACCATGATGACATATAAATCATAGTCATAATTGTGTATATGTGTGTATCTCTCAATAAATACTTGTGTATAATTTTTTCCTTTTCATATTTGAACTGACCTTTGCTGACAGATGATTTAATGTTTTATATGTATATCTGTTATTTCACTGCTACACAAAGTATACTAATACCCTTCATATTATCTGCATACTATTATTATTTAATTAGAATTATTTGAGGGAAAATTAGTTAGACACAAATAAGAGGAGCACAATTTATTGAGGTCTTTTATTTCATGTTAAAACATAGTATTGTAAGTATTTATTGTTAGCAATTATTAAGCAATTATTGCTAATGTACATTTATTCATTACTATTTTACAGAATTGGGAAACCCTTGATAAGTCCTTTACATGAAATTGGAGAATGTGGTTCTCATGGCGATTTTGAAACCTGCCAATTTGGAAAGAATATTCCAGTTTCAACGCTGCAATGTTCAGTAAGGTTTACTAAGTTTTGAGACAAGAATTCATTTAATTGGGAAAACATAAATCTTCCAGTACTCTGAGCAATTAAATGAATAAATCTGGTAGAAATTCATATCATTATGATTTAAACCAGAGCTTAAAGGCAAACCATATATGAACCTAGGTTATGACATAAAGTTATTTTTCTAACAATTTGTTGATGTATAATTACTCCCCATGAAATGAAATCATGTCAGTTGTAAAATTCAGTGTTTTTCAGTATATTTACATCTCTCTATCCTAGCCATAATTTTATAACCATATTTTGAATGGTAATAATAATGGTGTATTTCTGGAACTTTGTAAAACTAATCCCACTGACTCACCAGGGTAAATTAGTACCAGGCTGTACAAATATTGCCAAGCTTCCTGCTGGGTGATGGATAGTATTTTCAGTAGGAGGGACTGTAAACTTTTTTTTTCTAGTTAATTTTTTTCATAATTTATTTTTCTATTTTTATTTTACATATCGATGCCAGTTCCCTCTCACTCCCTCCCTCTCTTTTTTCCCTCTCCCACCCTCTCATGCCCCCAACTCCATTCTCCGCCCTCACTCCACATGTAGGGTGATGCCTTGTAAGAGGTGTCATCTAAATCTATCAAGTCATTTGGAGTAGGGACTACGACTTCTCCTCTCCTGTCTCTAGGTTAAGGGTGTGTCTCTCCATGGGGGATGTGATCCCAAAGTTCTTTTGTACACCAGGGATACATCCTGGTTCCACTGTCAGAGATCCTTTAGACTGCTCAGGCCTTCTAGCTGAGACCCATGTTCAGGGGGTCTTGAGTCAGTCCCATGCTGGATTCCCAGCTATCAATCTGGGGATCCATTAGCTCCTCTTTGTTCAGGTCAGTTGTCTCTATATATTTCTGCAGCTTGATCTTGTTCTCCCTCTCTGCATCTGGATTCCAGTTCAGCTCAGTGTTTAGCTGTGGGTGTCTGCTTCTGTTTCCATCAGCTACTAGATGAGGGCTCCGTTATGGTGGATAAGTTAGTCATCTATCTCATTATCAAGAAAGGGCATTTATAGTAGCCTTTCCACTGTTGCTCAAATTGTTAGTTGGGGTCAGTCTTCTATATCTCTGGCCATTTCTTTAGGTTCAGTTTTCTTTTCAAACCTATTATGGCTCCCTCTTTTATGTTTTTTCTCTCTCCCTCTCTCTCTTTCTCTTTCCCTCCCATTGTCTATTCTTCCCCCTGTCTCAATCTTCCTAATCCCATGAGCTTTTCTTTGCTCCCCTTCTCTTTCTCCTAGTTTCCTCTTCACTCACTGCTCCCCCACTCCCCTTGTGCTCTGGAGATCTTGTCCCTTTCCCTTTCTGTGAGGGACCTTATATGAATCTCTTAGAATCATCTTGTATCCTAGTTTCTTTGGCAGTGTGAATTATAGGCTAGTGATCCTTTGCTCTATGTCTAAAATCCATATATGAGGAAATACATACCATGTTCCTCTTTTTTGCGACTAGGTTACATCATTAAGGATGGTTTCTTCAAGTTTCATCCACTTGCCTGTGAATTTCAAGATTCCATTGTTTTGTTTTGTTTTGTTTTCTGCAAAGTAGTATTCCATTGTGTAAATGTGCCACATCATCTTTATCCATTCTTCAGTTGTTGGTCATCTAGGTTGCTTCCAAGTTCTGGCTATTACAAATAATGATGCTATGAACATAGTTGAACACATATCTTTAATGCATTGATTTGGATCATTTGGGTATATGCCTAAGAGGGGGATTGCCGAATCCTGTGGTATACTGATTCCCATTTTCCTGAGGAACCACCATACTGATATCCAAAATGGCTGTACGAGTTTGCACTCCCACCCCCCAGCAGTGGAGGAGTGTTCCCCTTTCTGCATATCCTCTCCAGCATAAGTCATTGGTGTTTCTAATTTCATCCATCATGTAACCCTCCCCTACTCAGTCTTGGGGAGACATCAAGCTGTTTTCTCTACCTATTCGTCTACTTTTGACATTTCCAAAAACAGCCCCTTCTATATTGGCTATTTGTACTTAACGTGATGTTTCCAAGATCCATTCCTTTTGTATGTGTGGTTAGTGCTTGACTTCTTATTATTGCAAATGTTCTCTGTGTCTATACACCACACATTTTATTTATTCTATTAGTTGGTGTTTCCATTTACAGTATAGTAATAATTCTGCTGTGGATATGACTGTACAGATGCACAAGTTTTCCTTTCTTTTGGGTGAATAATTACTGGTAAAATTGTTGAGTAATGTGATAATGCTGCATAAACTTTTGAGAAACTCTGAGTGCCAGGTTGCTTTCTGAACAGGATGCAAGAGGCAGACAAAGGTTAACATCTCATCCTGTCCAGCTTATACTTTGCTGATGTCAAGATATGGTTTACAGTTGAACTAACAAGGATAATATGCTACTTTTCTTTATTGAAGTTTTTGTTCCCAGTCCAAAACTACTACTTTTTTTTTCTCACATTTCCATCAAGTCTTGTTATAGGATCTGCTGACTCATTCTGCAAGTTGTTACACTGTGATTGGTTCGCTCATTACAATTAATTTACTAGACAGTGGAGGAAAGATTAGTTTTCAAAAATCAGCTAATAATATTAAAGTCAAACTGATATTGGAATTTGCAGTTATGACTTGTTACTGTATATAACACTGTAGCTATACATTTATGTTGCACCAAATATACATCCTGTCTTCAGAATTGACACTTTCCAGTTGTTTCTCCTCCCTTTAATTTAATAATATATATATATACACATATATATGTATTTATATATATGTATATATATATATAATTTTTAGGATTTATAGAATACATATTTTAATTCTTCAAAAAATTATTTCAGCAAGATATCATTTAAAAGTTTGTCAAAGCTTAAGCAATTTCAGAAAGAGAAATTATTAAAAAATAGTAATTGAAATAAAAGAATCAAAGCAGGTTTTCCTATTCTGTGAAGCATTACAGCCTAACACAGGTTATGGTTCAATGATGTCCATTATGAATTAGCATGAACATCATGTTAATTAGAAATGACATTCAATGAATTTAGCATACATTACTACATTTAATTAACATTTTACAGACTGAAAATGACCACAGAATTTTCTTTTTAAAGCCTCACCAAGAAATGGAAGGTGAAAATACAATATTAGGTCTACCAAAACTTACTCAAAGTTAGTTCATTCTGAGACTTGACTACCAAAAGCAGATATCAGAATTTGGTTATGTTATCTAGTAATTGTAGGTCTTTGTTTCTTTGTTTGTTTTCTGTTATAGTACTTCAAATCATGTTTGTCATTCTTCTCCACATCTTAATTATAAAAAATATTCTGGAGGCAAACTTGCTTATTTATAAGAAATTGCAATAGAAGAAAACTGGGCATAAAATTCTTCCACAGTAGTTCCACTCTTCTCCTTCTAGTTTCCTACTATTTCTTAAAAGCAGTGTTTATCATCATTAATATTACTACACAATGGACCTTCTTTAAAGGAGACTAACTTTCATGATGTGATTTAGGTTTTGTTATTATCTCCTGTTCAAACCAAAGCATCTTTTTCTTTTTAAAAGGTTTATTTGTATATTTCATGTATACAGATGCTTTGTCTTCGTATGTGTAAAACAAATAATAAAAACAGATATTGGAGTTCAAGATGAAGATCAGAAAGCCAAGCATCCACTCAGTAGCTCTTACCTCTACTTCAGACTGAAATAGCTGTTTCCATATATACTCAGAGTTCAATGCACTGAGTTCTTGTCTCCTCCTGCCTTATATTCCTTTCTCTTCCCAGCCATATCACTCTAGTCTCCACCTCCCTAGTGTCAGAATTAAAGGCATGAGCTCTGTTTCTCTTTTGGACTGACTTACTCTCATGTAGCCCTGGGTGACCTTGAACTCACAAATATCAGTGTACCTCTGTCTCCTAAGCCCTGGGATTTAAGGTGTGTGCCACTACTGCCCAACTTCTATGGCTGTGGCTAGCTTTGCATTTTGATCCCCAGTGGCTTTATTAAACCATAACAATATGTCACCACACATATATATATATATATATATAGTGATGGTTGTGAGACTCCATGTGGGTGCCAGGAATGAACTCAGGGTCTTTGGAAGAGCAGGCAGCGCTCTTAACTTCTGAGCCATCTTTCCAACTCCTGTCTTTTTATTTTTATCTTTAGTGTCATAGACAACATCTTTTTCATTTTCTTTTCTCTCTATCTTTCTTGAGAAGATTCTAGTATGAAAGTTTGCTTTTTATTCCCTCCCCTTCATGTGAGCCAAATTTACGACTTGAGAAGGTGTAGAATCATCTGAAACAAGGCTCTGTCCTGTATGTAGTACCTTCTGAAGATGTTGATGCCTGCCCAATAGGTGCAAGGAGCTCTACTGGAAAGCATAGGCTTTCTCTGTGGCCTGATACCCGTACAACATAGCCTCTGAGTTCAATGGTTCAGTGCCAGTAAAAAGAGATACTGCGTAGTTTAGTGTCGGCAGTTACCTGACTTGGTTCTCACCTTTTTGATGTTTTGCCTTCATTTTATCTTCTTATCTAATAAAAATTAACCAGTTAAAACCTACACACCCATACCTCTACTCATGATACTTTATGGTCTTTCCACTTAATAATTAAATGTATTTCAATCAGTAACAGCCATAAAGTTCATTAACTGCTGAACCATCTCTCTAGCTGTAGAGCTAAGATCTTATAGAAACCTGAGCTGGCTGAGTAATCTTCCAGAAGACCCGAGTGCAGTTCCAAGAACCCACTTTGGGTACCTCAAAAATACCTCTAACTTTGGCTCCAGGAAATCTAACACCTTCCTCTAGCTTCCAATGACACTACTTGTCTGCCTCAAATAACAAAAAAAGAAAAAGGAAAAATTTTAAGCCACCTTATCATTCATTATGAGGTTATGGTACCTAGGTCATGGTTAGCAGAGTATAATACTTACATATATGATTTCCCTCCATAGAGACTCCATACAAAATGATGCCATTTTCTGTTCACCTGCTCAACTATTTACTCATATGCTCTCCCCAACATTGCTACCAAAGTAGTGCAAGGGACAAATAGAAAGGACAGTGCAGTCTGTGAGGTCATGCTCAGCTGAGAAATTAGCCCTTAGTAATTAAATTATTCTTTGTGGTTCTTTGCTATGTCCCAGATCCTCTAGTTCTTCCTTTAATTTAGAAATAGTCTGTGTTTGAGCAACTGAATTGTTTTCTCATCCTGTTTTCTAGGTATACATCTTAGATTTTGTTGCATCTTTCAATTATATTGTCTTTATATATGTATATATATATATGTATACATATATATAAACATAATATTAATGAAATAAAATTAAATCACTTTCCACTTCTTTTCCACCAGCAACCCTACCTCAAACGCCTCCTATTCCCCTAAATTTGATAACATCTTTTTATTGCTATTGTTACATACATGTGTATATATTATGCATCTATTTGTGCAAATTTATTTTTTAATCTTTCTTTTCTTTTTTATTGTTTTTTATTTTTATCTTACATATCAATCCCAGTTCCCTTCCCTCCCTACATCTTTCCCTCTCTGCCACCCTTCCATGCCCCCTACCATCCTCCTCTCCCATCCCCCCACTTCAAATGTAGGGTGATGCCTTCTAGGAGGGATCTTCTAAATCTGTCATGTCATTTGGAGTTGGGACTAGCCCTTCCTCCTGTCTCTAGTTTAAGGGAATATCCATCCATGGGGAATGTGCTCCCAAAGTCCTTTTGTGTACCAGGAATACAATCTGGTTCTACTGTCATATGTCCCTTAGGCTGCCCAGGCCTTCTAGCTGAGACCCATGTTCAGGAGATCTGAGTCAGTCCCATGCTGGACTCCCAGCTATCAGTCTGGAGGCCCATTAGCTCCTCCTTGTTCAGTTCAGCTATCTCTATATGTTTCTGCAACCTTTTCTTTTCCTCTCCCTCTGCATCTGGATTCCAGTATGGCTCAGTGTTTAGTTGTGGGTGTCTGCTTCTGTTTCCATCAACTACTGGATGAGGGCTCTATGCTGGTAGATAAGTTAGTCTTCAATTTCATTACCAGCAAAGGACATTTATGGTAGCCTTTCCACTGTTGCTCAAATTGTTAGTTGGGGTCAGTCTTGTAGGTCTCTGAACATTTCTCTAGAATTAGTTTTCTTTTCAAACCTATAATTGCTCCCTCTTTTATAGTCTCTCTCTTTCTTCCTTCTCTCTATCTCTTCTTTTATCAATTCAGTTTATAATCCTGTCCCTTCAACCAAGTGAGAAAACAGCTGCCACATTTATCATATGAGCTTTGAACCTCCTCAAAATTCTATTGGAAATCTTGTCCCCCTAAAAGGTACTTTCAGAAATCCTTTTGAGTTGAACTCCTCATCTTGTCTTCCCATTTAGCCCAACAATGACAATGTTTTAAGGCTAGGACCCTCAACGTGTGACCCTTCCTCAGCCTTTCTGAATTCTTACATTCATTATTATTTTTAGATTGTGTCTTCCCAGTGGTACCTGGGAAGTTATTCACACTGCCATTTTTTGTCAATTTATGTGTATGTACTGTATAAATTAGGAACCATCATTTGCACATCGTGTTGTCTCTCCTGTGTTTCATAGATTTTTTTTAGATTGTGTTTCAAGTACATTAATATACAGCCACTGTGTAGCAAAAGTCCCTTTCTCCTAGCTTCATTACCGTTATAATTTGCAGTCAGTCTCTTTGTGGTCCATGAACTTCCATTAATAATACCTCTGGATCTTTATGGCTCTTTCTTTTATGGATACAGGCCATACAACATTTCAGGACTGAAGATGTGGCTCATGTTTTAGAGCATCTTCCAAGGATATGGCAAGATCCACTTTTAATATCTTGTGTCTCACATATAAACAATCGAGCAAGTCAAATTTTGTGCTGATTTTATACACATGCTATTGATAAAATCTTGAGATTCTAATATCTTTTACTGTATATTTGAATCCTCTCTGACTGCACTAACTTAAAACTATAGTCATTCATCAATCAACCTGCATTAGTGAAATACAATTGCTTTTGACACACAGGCTTTTAATGTTTTAGGAACAAGCAGCAACTAAGCCATATTCAGAATTAAGAGAGAGTTACAAAACTTCAACAATAAATGCGATGGAGACCAAAATTAGAAGCCTTAAATCGACACTCTCTAAATTGAAAGTTAGCAGAGCACTGAGTGTTTTGGAACTGGAACGATATAAGTACCTCTATCATGAAGAATTAAGCATTAGAAAATCATTTCAGTATTACCTAAACAAGTAAGGAAAACACATATATGTAGAAAGTCCAACAAGTTCAGTAATTTCTCTCTAAAACATAATTGTTAGCAAAATACTGTTTGTGAAATTCCTATAAGGTGAATGTTAATTGGATGATATAATTTTTGGAAATAATATTATTACATAAACTTAATTTTAAGTGATAACTCTGTTACAGATTATCATATTTTCTGTTTTTATTTATTCATGATAATTTCATCTACTTAACCAAATCAAGTATATTTTCACCTGTGTGTTTTATAAATTTTCTAATTAGGACAGTGATATTACATAAAATGTTTTGTAAGCATTCGCAAAATAAACACTGAATATTGAACTATCTTTAAGATAATGTAGCTTACAACCAAGGGTGTGAGTACCATCAACCACCCCTACTTCACAGGCAGTTGGTAATTTTCTTTGCTGTGAAGTTTGATTTTGCCACTAGAGGGAGCAAGACGACAATTCTTTTGACTGTGTATAATCTCCATAAAGGTATACTGTGTAATAGGGAAAAATTAATATGGGGAGGAAAAAAGTCTAGATTTAAAAAATGGTTAATAATTGTTCAGCGTGAAAATTTTGGAGGCTATATTGCCAAATTCTACCTGTGCTGCTTTGGTAATGATGAAATGATATAACTGTGTCTTAAGCCTCTTTGGTTCATTAATTAATAGTCCCACTATCACACTCTCCCGGGAATTATGATAGCTTGTCCAGTATTGTTAAAGTACAAGTAACTTAATGCACCTTCAGGAGGAAGTGGCAAATTTAGACTTTACAATCTTCCCAGGAGTAAGGACAATTTAGAGAAGAGCAAGACAATGATTCAAATGGAAATGCAAAGCGGACCTGCAGTAAACACACAAAGCCTGAGGCCATTCACTGAGTGCTCTTCTGCAGGGTATTTTGACAGCATCCCAGGAACCAAAGTAAGTCTTTTTCCAAGAAAATACCTGACAGCATCTTCCTCAAACTCTCAACCATCAGCCCGTGGCCTAGAATGATTGGCTATATTTTTAGTTAACTTTTTCTTTGTTTTTAATTTAAATTAGAAACAGTCTTATTTCATATATCAATACCCTCTCTCACCTTCCTCCCATGAGCCCACTGACCTCCATTTCATCCCCTTCTGCTCCATAGAAGGAGAGAGGCCTTCCATTGGGTATTATCAAAGTCTGTCAAATCATTTGGGGCAGGCCCTAGGCTGAGGGAGTATCTATCTATGTGGAATGGGTTCCCAAAGTCCATTCATATATGAGGGATAAATACTGATCTGCTACCAGAGGCCTGATAGATTGCCCAGGCCTCCTAACTGACACCCACGTTTAGGGGGCTTGGTCTGTCCTTTGCTGTTTTTACAGTTGTGGTATGGTTCTTGTTTTCAACGTGGTTAACACCTCCTAGGTTGATGCAAGAGTGAATCACAAAGAAGGACAAAAGCAGAGGGATTAGAGAATGGGCTCTGCTGGGAAACACTGCTACTGTGCTAATGCAGGGGCATGAGTTCAGATCCTCAGCACCCACCTGAAAGTTTGGCATAGTGGCCATAACTGCAGTGATTGGAAATGGGTGGAAGCAAGGCAGATCCTGTGGTTCCCAGTCAGAATAGTCTAGCATAAACTATGAGCTCTAGGTTCAGGGTGGAACCTTGTTTTAATAAACAAAGTGGAAAAGAGAGAGAAAGAGCAGAAGTAAGATTTCCCCTACACAAGTACATGCACTGGCGAGTGACCTCCACCCCCTGTACAAATGTAGCACATACATACACACACACACACACACACACACACACACACACACACACACACAACCTGGGACAAGACTGAGAGACCCAGAGAAAGCAAAATTAGAAACTTCATAAATTTGGAAAGTTCCTAGTGTACTTATTTTTATGAGATACCATTTACAAACTTTATATGCTTGTAAGTGAAATTATACATTTTAAATTTATTTAAAATTTGAATGTAAATTGCTTTTAATGAAGTGATTACTTCTGAACACGCAAGGTAGTTTAGTGTGTAGATGTCTTTGCTGTAAAGACTGAGGACCTCAGTTCAATTTCCAAAGCCCACATATAAAATGAAGGAATAAATTGCCTACAAGTTGTCATCTCACCTAGACAAATGCCCCACAATATGTGTACCTGTACAGCCAGACACAGCACTAAATAAACACATAGACACATAAGTGCATAAATGAACAAACATAAATGAAAATGATTATTCCTGCCCATAACTCTAAGTATATTTTGTCATGCTTTGTTTTTCTTTCGAAGCAACTTTTAGCTTGGTTGTGCACACATTTACCTGACTCCTATTTTCAGGTTTCATATTCAAGCTTAATTCCAAGATGATGTGTCCTATGTACTAGGAGCCATTGTATACTTTCATTTGTCCCTATTAGATGTTATTACTTTGCCATTACAAGTTACGTAACTGACATGAATAGATACATCTTTTAGGTTCTACATATAAAGAATCATTTTCTGATCACTGAAAGAACAGGTGTGGTGTTTAAAACTGATGATGCAATCTGTGTTTGTAAGCACCCTCTATGCCACACACGAGGTGAAATACTTAATTAACATAAAGGTTATAAAAAACATCTAACTTTTTTATAGATGCAAAAAGATTCCCAATAGGATTGTACATAGAGAAGCAAATAAAGCAAGGTATGTTGCCAAAATGTATGAGTTTGATTTAAATGAATAGATTTATGTAATAAGATTTAGATATAATTTGTTTTCCCTTTATCTTGGTAGCTTAACTAGTCTTGTTACATTGAATGAAATATATAAAGTATAAAAATCCATAATTGTCATTATTAGTCTTCTACAATTTTTCAAAAAAGATGAAAATGTCTACATTGTTTGGAAAGCAACACAAAGACATAATTACTAAAACCCAATGTAATACTGAGAACGCTAAACAACAACACTGAAAATGAACAACACAATGTCTGCAAGTAACACACACAAATGCCAATAATAATTTTAACTACAAATAGCCTCAATTCTCCAATCAAAAGACATTGGCTGACTGAATGGGTCAAGAAACAAAATCCATATACTTGTTCTCTTTAAGAAATATATCTCACCTTTAATGGTAGAGTAAAAGTAAGGGAAAATACTCTGATCAAATGTTACCAGGAAGTAACCAACCATCGCTATCCCAATATCTGACAAAAGAGACTTCCAGACTAGTCCATGAAAATAATTAGTATACTGGAAGTGAATAATATCTACTTTTAAACTTTGCATTTATTTTCTTAACATCTATTTAGAACTGTTTTGAGGAGAGTATCCCTGATTGGCCTGGCATAACAGCGTGGCCATGAATACCCAGAAATTTACTTACCTCTTTCTCTTGACTGCTGAGATTAAAATTGCAAAACCACACCAACATTGAGATTCCTTTATGTATGGAGTTTTCCAATTTTCCTTTCAAACAATATACCCTTTCTTGTTCTCTGTGGCTTGTTCTAGTTCTTCATTTTTTTCTGTAATATTTTCTGTTAATATTTACTATTTTGCCTGCTTTCCATTTGTTACTTTCTGAACATTATTTCTGTTGACAAAAATGTTTCCTGTTTTCATGAGAAAGTAGCAAAACCATAAAGAATTTCAGGATATTATAGATTCTTAAAGATTAGTCAAAATGCCATTCACTATATGACCTGGGAGAAATTCAATGTCCTGGGAGAAATGGTTGTTTTGATGTAAAATGTTAAACTCAAGACACTCAATGGGCCACATGAGCACAGTAGGTATACATGAGGTTAAAGCTCACATTCCTTAATATAGAACACATTTCTCTGGGTGTTTTAAGAAGAAATTGCAATATTGTTGCTAGTATTTGTTGTAATGGGTAAAGGATCAGATTGTGTTTACCAAGTGAAACCAAGGGCACAGAGTAAACATGAATTAACAAGAGAATGGGGGGATTAAAGGAACAACACTGGGTAGGGTAAGGATTTACTTTGGAAGAAGACTTGTAATTGAAAATTTTAGAAGCTATATACACACAATAGAAAATATAAGAACTCAAGATATTGAAACTTTCCTTTAAACAAATATTAAATTTTAAAGATTGAATGATTCTAACAAATATTTTGCTTTTTTGTCTTTGATTGTAGGTACTACAACCAACAATATTTCTATTGACAGATATTAAATAACTTGAAACAATTTGTGTAGTTTCTATGGCAGATAAGAAAATCTTGTATATGTGTATGTGTCTTTATGTGTCTGTCTCTCCCTATCTCCATTTTCATCTATGACATCTATGTAACAGTCTTCAAAGGATATGTTGTAGATCCTTCTAAACAAGGATCTAAGTGTTGCTAAATTGTATCTATCTATGACTCAGGTAAGATTTCTCCTACACATTCTTTGCCATCTCACTGGCATTTGCACAACAGACATGTGTGGTGCACAATAGCTGGGCCTCCTTGCACCACTTAGAGAGCTGCATTTATATGGCTGTCAGCATTCATACAGCAAAGATAGCTGATTGAATCTACATTTAACCTGATCTGAAGTAATAAGAAAATTGAGAGCACCTTCCTGACATCTATTCTGAAATCAGGCTTAACATTTAAATATCAGACATGTACACTGAATTCTTCAGAAGTGGAGGACCTGGTAGTGAGCTGTCATAGGAAAAACATATTCTACATTCTACAGATATACCAAAAAATTATTCCTTAATAACAGTGTTGTTCTTTTCAGTAAATATTTTACTCATATTGAAATGTAAAGACTACTGGTACCAAATGCTTCTCTAAAATATTTTATATTCTACTTTATAATAATTATATTTCAATATTGAAAGGTAATTATCCATCACATATTAGATGAGGTTCATAGAACTTCTTATGTAAATGGTGAAAAAAATCTTTAATATGTAAAGTAAAAGAAGCAATAATTGTAGGCATGGCAATATTCTGAAAAAATAAAATTGTTAAAGGATTTTTTTTCAAAACTGTGTATGTTCAATATAGCACATTCTAATATAGAGAAAATGCTTCATTAAATATTGCAAGGTGATTTATTTAATATTACAAGCTGATTGAAGTCAGATGCCTGTCCTTGAGAAAAATAAATAAATTTTACATTTTACTGAGGTATTGAAACTTTCTACTCATGCTCTCCTGATATTATAAAACCTTAATGTCTCATATAATAATTTCAAAAACCATCACAAGATGGTTGTATAGTCCGTTCCACAAGAGCAAATTTCATCTTGGTATTGTGGACATGATATTTGAAGCCGGGGTGTGTAGTCAGAGACATTAGTGGGAACCTATTATGATATGGCCCTTTGTGTGGACAGAAGTTTCTGTTCTGCCCTTTCCTGCAGCTATTTATCCCCTAATAAACACACAGAGGCTTAAATTAATTATAATTTGTTTGGCCAATGGCTCAGGGTTCTTATTGGCTAGCTCACTCTTAATTATTAAGCCATGACTATTAATCTGTGTATCTTCACATGATCTTATCTAACTGAAGAATGCCTGGGCATTCTAATTTCCCTGTGGATATATGACATCTCCTTCACAACTACTCTCTTCATTCTTCTTCCCACAATTCTCCTAGTCTGGTAGGCCTACCTATACTTCCTTCATGGCTACATTCTGCCTGGCCACACAGCTTAATTCATCAACCAATAAGGGAAACAAATATTCCCAGCATATAGAAGGATATCCCGCATTAGTTTTGATTATTTATATTTATTCCTGTAGAATAATACAGCTCTCATCCTTCAACATAGAGATGGCAATGACTACTGAGGGATCAACTTCAAACCAGACATCTATATTACCAACCCCAGGCCTCAAGAGACACTGTGGAAGAGAGGAGTGGAAAGAATGTACAAACTAGAGGATGGGAAGGGGTGTTGTTAATATAACTTGTATTATATTACTATATGCTATGCTATTGTATTATTATACATAACATAGTATATGTGGTATGGCAGCAGAAGAAGGCACTATAAGGGGAATGAGGGAGACCATACAAGGAAG